ATAGAAAAAGAAAAGAAACAATCAAATTGTAACACCACACACAAATATAAAATAAGTACTCTGAAATTGTGCAAATAAAATTGAGTTACAATTTACTGCTAAAATTTAGGGTTCACTCATACATCAGTATCATTCTGGACAGTTTTCATTTATTAAACTACACCATTAGGAAACAAATCAATAACCAGAAATAATGATGCACAATATTACAGTTTATGACTTCTGTTATATGGGTCCTGCATAATGTGAACTGTGGTCCATCAGACACAGTCCCAGGAAATGTCACAGTCTTCACTCACTGACATAGCGAGGTCTGGGACTGCTGAGCAATCCGGGGGGCAGAGGCCACAGAATGCAAAGTAAAACCCGACACTAGGTGGCCACCTTTCAATTCTACTTATCATCTCACTGTGGGTCTTCAAATAATCTGTGTTGGGGTGGGAAAGGATCTCCTTAGAATGTTGGCTTTGAACTTGTTTTGAGTCAGAAACTTCTTTAAGAATCTGCCTCTGGGGAGTTCAGGGAGTCCAGGTGAAAACACCTGCTTCGGAGAACGTTGGATGGCAAGGGTACGTTGGAAGGAAAGCTCCCAAAAGAACTGTCAAATATGCTTCTGTCAGAAGTTAAGAAAGAAGAAATAAAAGAACTATTTTACTTGACACATCCCAGGGAGCAGGATAATTTTACCTAAGTGCTCATTATATAGCATGTTCTGAAAAAAATCATGGTGCAACCTAAGTAGCTTCATAAAACACCAAATTATGGAGATTATATGACAAAATATACTTGCTACTGAATAAAAATGACACCTATAGTTATTAAAAGATGTTATTTGTCCATTGGAGGCTGACAATTATATCAGCCTACTGCAACTGCCTAAACTAAAATAACATATTTACAGATACATTAACTTGGGTAGTTAACACTGGTAGATCAATTTATTGTCCCAGAGGAAACATCCTAGGATAGTAAAGCAATCAGAAGATTTATCAGACTCTAAAATTCAATTTCAAATGACGTAATATAACTTAGAAGTGAAAGACCTCTACTAAATCTAAAATGTGGTAAAATAGCATTTTTTTAGATAAAAAAGACAAGTATATGAAGAAATTATACAAGGCACTTGATCTCTGAGATGCAGCATCGCTTGTACATTGTGTGCCCCTCCATATTAAGGGCAGGAAACAGAGAAAAATTTACTGAATCATGCAGAGCTCATCTGTGGACCTGACTGATTTTACACTTCAAGGAATAGATAATGATAGGAATATGATCAATAAACAGAGACAGTATATACAAACATGCGTGTAAAAACATTAGTGGCAAAGAACTCAGGCAAAACATTTATTTTCTTTAAAAGAGTTTAGAATTATGGAACTTGAGCAATGTAGTCTGGAGTGACCACGGAAGATGGTCAGGGCAGGACCATAGTGAAATACTGTCAGCAGGAGAGTATGTAGCTTAAACAGACCCAGAGAAGATACTGTAATTGTCTGAGGTGATGCTGTTTGGCCCCTTCTACCAGAGAATTCCAACTCTCCTAGCTTTGACTCCCCACTCATTCACTTGCTTGCTAAACACATACTGAGCACCTGTGATGTGTGGACAGTTTCCAGAGATGAGCTAGAGTCATCTCTCAGCTGGGCTTTCTCAGGAGTCCACCTCCAGTCTCTCTTCTTACTGTGTCTTTCTTTGTAGATTCTGCCAGTGCAGTTACCAACACTTTCACCTCAGAACTACATATCTGATTCTATCATTTCTGTTTAAAACATGGAGATGACTTACTGCTACTGAGAGGTAAATCTAAATTCCTTAGCAAGGTATGCATGGCTGTTAAGGGTCATTCTGGCCTCACCTACCTCTTCAGGCACATCTCAGGTTCTCTTTTCCATGTACTTCTACATTTCTGCCAAACTGGACTTTTGGATATAACCCAAATTTTCTGTGGATTTTCAAACCCCATGCCTTTCTTACCCTACCAAGAATCTACGCATCTCAACCCCGACTCATCTGCCAAAATTCTTGTCTCAAGGCCTAGTCCATTATTGCTTTCTTTCTGAAGTTTTTCCTGATCCTGCTTAGCAAAATAAATGATTCACTACTCTGTGCTTACATAAGATTTTGTTCACATGAGTAGTTTAGCATCTATTTTTACTTTCTTGTACATTGGTCTTAATTGACGGGTGTTAAACATCAAAGGTGGGTGTGTTTCACCATCTAGATCTCACGTGGGATCTTATAAAAGGCTGTTGCACTTTATGTGGCATTTAAACATTGGCTGTTGAACTTGACTGAAACTTCTATGTAGTTTTTTTTGTTGTTCAGGCCAAATAAAGTTGTGAACTTTAAACTTCATTTTAATTTACTGGTCCTTTAGCTTTTCCTGTTTCTTGACCTAACTGGTAAAGATGGGACCAACTCTGACATATTATATAGTGAGGGTCTGACCGCAGAGAGGATTTGTCACCAGTTCCTCAGTGTACTCCTCTTAATTAATAGTCAGCTGCTAATTCGGTCAAGGAACAGGTTCAGATTCTGACTTGCTACTTGGTTTCTCCCTATTCCTGTGCCCTAACTTTACAACAGTGTTCTGAAGTCTGGTCTCAAGGGTGAGAAAGTACAAGCTCTGGATGAAGCACTGTCCACCCATCAGCCATACTGAGACCTTAACTCAAATTTGCCGTTAGCATGTTTCAGGTCACTTTTATAGATGCCTTCATGGTGTATTTCCTAGAGTTCCAGACACGAAACTATTTCAAGGGACACAGAAGTTGAACAAATGCAGCCAAGCAGCTATGATTCTTACGGAAATACTGAAAACAAATAAGGACGTGGGTCAAAATGAGTGACTCAGAAAATAGGGGTATTTCCACGATCAAACTGAGGGAATGTTTGTTACGGAAAAGAGAAAGCAGGCATAACACCGCAAATGGAATTATCCTGGCTTGCTCTTTGTGGTTTAAATAATTCTTTTGTAAGTATATATTTGTAAGTATATCTATCTTTTGTAAGCTTGGGTTTCATTAATATCTCTTAAAATCTGTAGGAAAATTAAAAAAATAAAGTTAGATGCATCTCTTTCCTCTCCCTCAACCAGAAGTTAATTCCTGCCTTCTTTGTTCTCTTTCATATTGTTTTAAATTAATATATAAAAGAAATATAAAATATTAAAGTTTGGAAGGACTGTGGTGCACTTTTATTCTTCTCCTCTGTCAGGGAGTGGCTAAGCTCCATCTGGAGAAGAAAAATAAAGAAGATAAAACTTATTCTTAGATGGAAAAAAATCTATTTTTAAGGGAGGAAAGCCCAGGATAAAGAATTCTTTCTAAGCAGCTTAAAGTCTTACCAGTAAAATGTCATTGCTTTATGCAAGCAATGTTTATTTACTGGAGTACTATTAGAAGAAACAATATAGAAAATAAGGATAGACTTAGCTTTCTTCAGAAATTTAAATGCTATTTCTCTGATCTGAGATCCATCAGATTTCAACACTGGGGGCTTCAAGAACCTTCTGACACTCCATTTTTACTTGTTTCATAAGTAATTCGTAATTCAATTTAGTAACACAAAATGGTAAAACCTAAATTATTTTAATAAAAATTTATTGTAGTTAGTTTTAATATATTAATCTAGGCAGATGACTTCCCCCCAGTGGATGGCATGTCCACTATCATGACAAGTCAGTAAAAAACTCTGCCTGGCCTTGCAGGCACCCCTGCTGCAGCAGGACCTCTCTGTCCGTGGGCAGGCGGAGCAGCGGCAGGGGCCCCTCACTCTAGGAGGAGGCCACCTTCTCCGGAAGCTCCAGTGAAAGGCTGGCGGGGGGGTGGCACAGAAGTAAATTATAGTAAAACGACCAAGGGTTTTAACTGACACCTAATTATCTCAGGAAAGAAGAACACATATAAAGGAGGGGTTTACATCTTTCTACAATATTGTGGAAACTCTGAATTTTTACAACTTTGTTCATGTCTAAGAAACACATGTACAACATATTAAGATTACTGAAAATGGCTGCAGTTCTTATTCAATGACTCCAAAATCTAATCTACATTTAATAATTTACCAAGACTCTGAATACAAGCAGCTTTCTAAAAAAAAAAGATATATATCAGGCCTAAGCTCACAAGACTTGAATAATTTAGGACAAGGCACTTATTTCTCATAGTCTTCTCTATTTGCCTCATCTAGTCTGTCAAAGCCCAAGGAAACTACATGGAAACAGCATCCAAAGCTGTAAACGGGAGGATCTCTGGGACGCCTCACGTGGAAGATACATTACAACTTCATCAAGCACCATTCTCCCAACAAATCATTCTCACTCAGTGAGCTCTGAGAAATAAGGGAAACAAAAGTAATCCACTGTGACAGTTGGCTGCTACTCAGGAGAAGGGGACCTGAGCAGTCTGGTGACAACGGGATGGAGTAACACAACTGAGGAGAGCATGCGGGCAGACTGGAAGACTTGCTCTTCGCGGTCCTGGGGGGACGCGTTTAGTCTCAGGCCAGTGAAAGGGTGTCCAAGGTTTCAAACGGACAGTGTAGTGTGTTGCCAGCAGAGTGTACACTGTGTCTGTGAGGAGTAAGGCTGAATCAGATTAGAATGGAAAGCTCAGTTTACCCGATTTCCTCACAGGCTATTTTAACCACGGGACTAATACTGCTGAAGCTGCAATATGTGGCATGGCCATATAGAAGACACGTGACAAATCCACAGTTTGGTCCTGTCTGATCCAGCCACAGTCAGATCATAAAAAGCTAACATTTGGGTTTGTAGCAGGGATAAGGTTTGAGAAATTCTTAGCAGAATTTAATGTGGCTATTTGTAAAGAAGACTAGATATTAATTTTAAAGCCAAGATCTTCCAAGATCTTCTCTTTTTTTAGTGTTTCAATGCTTATTTTATTTTTTCTCTTTTAACCCATGCTGCACTTCCCCATGTTTAATGAACATTGCAAATTCCACACGTGTAATAAAGTCATGCAGATGAATTATGTTACCTTTGCCTGCACCTACATCAGGTGGAAGAATACCAGCTTTAACGAAGGGAGACAGAAACAGGACACTATGTAGTTAAATGCAGCACATCCATGAGCATGTAAAGCTGTATAAAAACACTTTAAAATGCTAGAGCATGCAAGAAGAATGAAGTGCACCATGTCAGGTACAGGGGACAAAGATATGTCGGTGTCCCCCAAATTACCCAGTAATCAAATCTATACTTTACTTAAGGTACACTGTTCATACTTGCCTATTATGTAAGAAGGCCTAGGATATCTCAAGACAATTTTTGGGCAGAGATGTCAATTTATTATGCTATGAAAAACAGTCAAATAAATAATCCTTAAGCAGTTCTACAATTTAAAGACATGCAAAGAGAGAAAAGTTTTTTACAGTATTTTTCATCATTTTTATTGACGTTTTCAAAATTTTTCAGAATAATTTTTAAAAGTATGACTGAAAGTGTTGACTCCTTTTTTAGATACTTTAATGGCGTTATTTTGCTTTCTATGTGTAGATGGCCTACTAAGGTAGAAAGTGTCATGCTCAAACACAAAATAAATGTACTGTTCAATAACTGTTTCAATTTCATTGCAAAAACCTAAATCAGTATGTGGACTGGCAAATTATTTTCTTGTGAATGAAGACCAGAAGTAGAATTACATATATTTATTTGTAGAAGGAAACACAATGCCTTGAATTTTGAGTTCGAGTGTGGCATAATATTGTAATTTCCCACTCCTACCTCAATATTTTAACAGAAGTTTAAAAATTTTATATGGACTTGGAAAACAAATACCAAGTCATCACTCTAATATGAATTAAATAATTGATTTTATACATATCTGAACGCAAAATTACAAATAAGTGTTTGTATTAAGTGGTAAGATGAATACTCCACGGTCAGAAGGAAAGAGAAAGCATAAATTTAAGTTAAAATTTTTGTTTCAAAACACTTATAGTTTTATAGATTTTATACATACCCATCTTACCTTCATCCACACTTGTTACTCCTTCCTCTGTTATCTGACTTCCTGATCCTGCTGATGTTTGTGCATTGAAATAGAACTTATACCGAGTGCTAAAATTTAAATTTTTTAAAGTCCAGCGAGTCTTGTTGGCAGGAATTTTCAAATCTACCAGTGGGCCTAATTCATGGGTGCTGTTAACTGTCAAGGAAAATAAGAAACAAGAACATTTCCCATTAATTGCTATAGGAATACTATTATAAATAAATGTGTTCACTAAAAACGTCAGGCTTGGATTACACTGACTTTTGTAACCACACTCACTTTTTGCCCGACATAACTGACAGGCTTTTACAGTTCCTATAATACGGCATAACAAGAGGAAATACATTCTCCACTGGTTTCTAAGCTGGGCGAATCCTACAGTTGACTTTCAGTAGCATTTCTCATCTCAGAGATTTTGCAGGTGGCGTCGTACATTGTTAAATAACCCCAAACCTCCTCTTCAGAGGACTTGTGCCATAGGAACCCCTCTTCTTACTATTTCCTAGTTATGGATAATGTCTACCTAACCTAACAATAGCTGTTACCTAAGCCCCATGCTCAAAGGTCTTTATTATTCTACAGAATACTGAATTTTCAGTAACATATGTGTAATTTTTCTTTAAAAAGTATGATTTGAAGTTCCTTCTGGAATAACAACTGAACGTATACAGGGTCCAGTAGAAGTAATGTCTGCTTGTCTGTGGTTTGTAGGGTAATGATCTGGGTGTAATAATTTATAGTTTGTATTCTCATAAAAACTATGAGAATAACTATTTCGCCTAAAATGTCACATGGTATGCTTAAGTGTGATATGTTACAGAATTACAGGCTTATAATTTTGTAATAAAGATTTTGTAATAAAAGGCATTATTTGCACTGGACCCTGTATGTATATATTCTACAGTTATAAAATAATAACCAGTTGGTATTTTAATATAACAGTTAAGTTTCTTTTTCTTTTTGAATGATATTTTCTCTTCTTCTCCCAATAACTTACTTGGCTGATATTTTAAGATGTACTCAGTCAAGATGCCATTTGGGTGGCTCGGTGGATCCCATTCCAAAGTGAGAGAGTCTAGTGTTGGATTAATGATCTTCAAAGAGGACGGGGCACTGGGAACTTACAATGAGAACACAGTCAACACAAAGGTTTTCCAGTGTTTCAAAATGTATTAAAATGACATACGTCACCATGTTCACACAAATTCATCAAGATTTTGGGGTTTTGTAACACATTCTTGTTCCTGATTTAGCTGAAAATACATTACCAGAAATCTGTGACAGGTACCCATTTATCCATTCTCTTTCTTTTAAGAGAATGGATTTCCATTTAGATTTATTAAAACCATTATCTCAAATATACAGACTTTGCCTTCATATGGACCCAAATCAATATTTTTAAAAGAGACAATAAGCCCTGGCTGGTGTAGGCAGGGGATGGGGCCGGGCTGCGAACCAGACAGTTTGTTGGCGCCCCAAGCGCCCGCGACCGATGTTGGCCGGCGGGTTCCTCCGCAGAGCCAAGGGGCTTTCTTCCCAAAAAAAAAAAAAAGAGACAATAAAGTTAATAAAATTAAAAAGAGACTACTTGTTTCCTGAATGAAGTCCTAATAAAAGCAAACTAGTGACTGACTCTGTTCTAACCAGACTTTTGAGGAGAAGCAGCTGTGTTCTGCGCTATTGAGGCTTGTCTGCCCCAACAAACCAGGTGTTTCCAAGCAGTCAGAACATCCTGCCCGCTGGGCTCTGGGCATGAGCCAGCCTGCCCAGGTATAGAGTAGTTCACACCTGGAGAGTCGACAGACGCCCAGAGTCTCATGGTGAGGACGGACAAAAGCCCCAGTGCGGCAAACCCTGACCCCGGGGCAGGCCTGCAGGTGACAGGTGCTCTGTGGCAGAGGCTGGCAAATTACCAGAGGAGACATGCCTGGGCCCCTTTTAGTCACTCCTTCAAGAGGATGATGGATGGTGGCAGTTCTCCCTTGTGATCATTACCTCCTCTCCCCAGCCTGCCACCGCTGTCCCTCCTGCCACTCTAGCCAGGGAGTCATCCTGAGTCACTCCCTCTGCTTCATTCCCACCACTTCCTGGGCCACTAAATACTGTGTCATCCACCTCGTTCATCTCGACAATACGCACCCCCTCCTCTGCTCTCTGCTGCCACCCACTTCAGGGCCTCTGTGGCCTTTGCCTGGGCCCAGAACACACCTGGCACATATTTCTAAGTGTCCCCAAACCGGTAAGTGGTTCTAAACTTTAGAAAATCAAAGACCCCTTTTAGAATCTGATGACAACCATAAACACTCCCTAGGAAAATATACAGCTTTTTCTACAATTTTGAGGTTCATAGAGCTCTTTAAATGCATTCATTGATCTGTGCATCTATAGTCCCCAGGTTAAGAGCCTCTGGCTTAATATCCATGGTGTTTAAGAACATCCAGGATATGGCTCCTTGCTAGCTGACTTTTCCCTCTTTTCTCACTATTCTTGGCTACCCTACTCGCAGCTCCCTGAAGGACCCATGCTGTGTCACACCTTTGTGTTTTTGAGCACACAACTTCCTCTCTTCTTTATCCTTTCATCCCCTGGTCATCTCTTCTGTGACACCTCCCCCTGAACCATCTAAAGGACCAGTGTGGTGTCTCACTAGAGAAAGCCTTGAGTGGAAGGAGCCCTTAACCTCCAAGGAGCAATGAGACCGAGGACCAGCAGTCATCAAGACATGGGACCTGGGACACAGGATGACTTGCAGAGGCTGTTGGGAAGCTGACATCATGAGTTCTGCAACAAGGAGCCAGGATGGATTTGTCTGTAAACTGCTTCTCTCTAAAAGAACTCTTATTGAGTCCATAGGCATTATCTGGCTCATTTTCAATACTGGCTGGAGGTAAAACCAAGATACGGAAGGCCTATTTTCAGCGCCTTGTCAAATTCCTCTCTCTTACTTATGGCCCTTCTCTCCCTCATCCCGAGGCTCCCATATGCTTGTCCAAACTCCTCCTGCCCCCCCTTCCCCACACATGACATATATGTGGGTCCACCCCCTCTTCCCCTTGTGGTGGCCCGTACTAGCAATGACTTTTTCCTTCTCTTCCCAATCTGTTTTGACAAGACTCCCAACCACCTAACTTAGCTCATGTTTACCATAAACTATGAAAGTGCACTGAGACAGAAGTAAATCATTATTTACAGAATTATTTTCTTTTCCAGATATTTTTCTTAGAATTTCACATTTAGTTCCCATACTTTTCAAATGAGGAAGCTGAGGCTTATAAAAGTTATATAATTTGCTTTCCAGTCAGGAAGTTAATGACCCAAATAAACATCTGATTAGCAAGGTTTCTGAGAGTGTGACTAAGTATGGAGAAAAAAGTTTAAGTCAAGAGAGATGGCATTTTGGGGCATCATTTTGTGATCTGCACCCTCAGTCCACATACAAGCTGACACTTTGCCAGCTTTGTGCATCCTGTATTCATCTCTGGGAAATCACATTTGGCTTCTACAATAAATACACTTTATCAGGGCCATTCTGTCATTCAGAGCCTCTTAGCATGGGCCATATGTTGCTAGGATCTCAGAGACATGTCCACCTCGTACCTCCTTCTGGGGTCCCAAAGACTCTGTCCGGGCTAGCTGGGCCCTCCCCTTTCCCGTTGACCACACGGACATTCAGCGTGTAGTTGCTGAAGGGCTCCAGCCCGGGCAACATGCCGTGGGTCTTGCTGCCCTGGAAAGTGAGGATCTTTTTCTCAATGTGGCGTCTGCTTCTTTTTGATGAACTCTGTGCCTTCCAGTAGTAAATCTGAAGCAGCAAGAACAACAGCCAGGGATGTATAAGGAAGCAAATAAGATTAAAGGTCTTTAATGGAGTCTTTTCCAGAAAATGCCTGTTGTACATTTTAGAGGATTACTGGTAAAACTGAGAAATATTGACTTCAAGGCAAGAGGGTAAGAAGTCCCCAGAGAATGAGGAAAATTAAATTAAGAATATGGGATAAAGCTGGACTCTATACTATTTTGTTGGAGGAATGTAAGTGAAATAAATGAACTGCACCCATGCAATTCTCTCTAAAAGACAATAAAAGGATTTATCTTTCACCAACTAGCTTATTTCACTTAGTATAATAATCTCTAGTTCCAACCATGCTGTCACAAATGGTAGGAATTTCTTCTATCTTTCTGCTGTAAATGCATCACAGATTTTTAATCCACTCATTCACTGATGGGCACTTAGGCTTTTTCCAGCACTTGGCTATTGTAAATTGCACTGCTATGAAATAGGGGTGCATAGGTTCTTCTGAATTGGTGTTTTGGGACTCAGGGTATATTCCCAGGAGTGGAATCACTGGGTCATGAAGCAGTTCCATTTTTATTTCGTTGAGGAGATTCCATACTGTTTTCCCCAGTGGCTGCACCAGTCTGCAATTCCATCAATAGTGCACTAGGGTTCCCCTTTTCCCACATCCTTGCCAGCACTTGTTGTTTTTTGATTTATTAATGATAGCCATTCTGACAGTTGTGAGATGATATCTCATTGTAGTTTTAATTTGCACCTCTCTGATGGCTAGACATTTTTCATATGTTGATGGGCCATCTGTATGTCCTCCTTGGAGAAGTGTCTATTCAGAGCCTTTGCACATTTTTTAATTGGATTGTCTTCCTGGTGTTGAGTTGTATGAGTTCTTTATATATTTTGGAGATTAAACCCTTGCCTGCTATATCAATGGCAATATATGTTCTCCCATATAGTTGGTTTCCTTTTGATTTTGACAATAGTTGCTTGAGCCATGCAGAAGCCTTTTAATTTGATGTAGTCCCATTTGCTTATTTTTTCATTTATTTCCCTTGCCCTAGAATATATATTGGCAAAAACAATGCTACATGGGATATCTGAAATTTTCCTGCCTATGTTTTCCTCTAGGACTCTTATGGTGTCACAACTTTTTATGTATTTATCCACTTTGAGTTTATTCCAGTGTATGGTGTAAGTTGGTGGTCTAGTTTCCCTTTTTTTGCATGTACTAAGTCCAGGTCTCCCAACACTATTTATTGACAAGACTATTTTTACTCTATCGTATGCTTCTGCCCCCTTCCTCAAACATAAATTGACCAAAAAGACATGGATTTATTTCTGCGCTCTCTATTCTGTTCCATTGATATATAAGTTAGTTGGTGAAAGACAAATACCATAGAATCTCATTAATAAGAGGAATGTAATGAACGGCATAAAATAATGAGCAAAATAGAATTAGAGACATGGAAACATGGAACAAACTGACAGATGATAGAGGGAAGGGAGAGGGGAAAATGGTAGAAAGAGGGGGGAAGGACTAGTCAAAGAGCATGACCCATGAACTTGGACAGTTATGGGGACTGACTAGGTGGGTGGGCTGGGTGAAGGAGGACAGAGGGGGAAAACTGGGATAACTGTAATAGAATAAAAAAGAATAAAAAATTGAAGAAAAATAAATGGAAAAAAGAGAAGATAATAGGAGAATTTAAATGTCTTATATAAAATATTCTAAAAGTAAAATTACTGTCCAATATTTTATATACATTTCCAGAGTTACTAGAACTTCATGTACAGTATATAATTTAGTTCAATCCTAAAAACCACAGTGAATATTTTATTATTATTATTATTCCTATAGTACAGATGAGCCTCCCAGTTACCAAGTGACTTATCTAAAGCCACAGGGCAATCAAGAGGGACAGTGAACCCTTCATGCTAAGTCTAGGGCTTTCACATTTATTTATTTATTTATCTATTTTTTGTAGTTGATTAACAAAGTTTTTGTTAAGTCTGGTTAAAAATCCAGAATTGTTGTTTATTATGTCCTCTTAAACTCTTCTTAGGAGTTTAAAGACATTTTTAGGAGACACTGACTACAGAATCTAGCAATGTTAAACAAAAAAACATAATTGAACATGATGCAGTGCAAAAAGTGACCTCTAGGGGTCAGAGTTGACAAATCAAAGTAGTGACTTTTTTTTTTTGTGGATGTAAAAACAGTTCTTTGACCATCAATCAATCAAAAGAAAATCTCTAGAAACAGTTTGTGTTTCCCAAGAACAAAGATAATTGATGTTCTTAAGAATGACCCATTTGGTACTATATGAAAATATACTCTGAATTATTTTTAATAATGTAGAAAATTTTTCTGCATTATTTTCAGGATAATTTCTGTTTTCAATGCATGTGCTCAGTATTGTTTTAAACCTGGGTGCATCTGATCATATTTTAGTATTTTAAACATTAGTTTTCCCCATATTGTGCATAGGTTAATTGCTCGGTTGGCAAAATCTGTGGGAAAAATGGAGAAAACATTTTCTTTTCTCACTTTGGATGCAGGGAGATTTTGATTCAGCTTTAGCAGGGGTTGTTTACATGTGGCCTGCCCAGGGCAATACACCAGAGGAACTGAATGCCTCCTCCAACCAAGAGAAGTGCATCTGGCATTCACTGATGGGCTGTTCCTAAGGAAAGAACAGGAAAGGTCCCCCTACACTTACTCGATAGCCTTGTAGGTGTCCTCGGATGCTTTTCAGAGGAACTGAGTCCCAGTGCACCTCAGCTAAGGTGCTGTTCACCACCGTCACTTGCACGTTCCCAGGAGCCACCATTGGGACTAGGGACAGGGAAGGAGGATAGAAGTAGCGATGTTATTCTGAGTTTCATACAAAAAAATACCACTTTCTAGTAATTCAGCTTCACTGAAGCATGCCCCAGCCCTATTCTACAAATTATCAAGGATTGAGAGTAGATTTTTGGTATCTATCCATTTGACTTTATAAGAATAACATATCTTTTTAAAAATAATAACTTTTAACATTTTGAATCTATTTTCTACATAGCAGACTATCTAAATTCAGAAATGTTGAATAAAATAATTGCTTCCTGTCTTCCTCCCAGTCAAAGCACCTCTGGAAAAAGACTTGGCTTATACTTCAGTAAGTCCGCTTTGCTGGGAAAAAGTATAAATGAAACAGTATCAGACACTTACGGTCTTCTCCAGAATGTCCCATGACTACAGCTGGTTCTGGAGCAAACCCTACATCATTCAGGGCCTGAACTTTTATCAGGTATGGAACAAAGGTTGGCGTGCCTGAGACAATATATTTGGATACATTTGCCACAACCACAGACGTCCATTCATCATCGCCATCTTTCTGGCGCCAGCTTACTTTGTACTGAAGGCCTGGCCCATTAGATTCAAAACCATTCAAAGGCTACAAGAAAAGCCAGATAATTAGGGCTTATAAAAACAGATCGAATACACATAACCTTTTACAGGAATAGCAAAACCAATTCTCAGACTTAAAGTGAGCACTGAAACACTAAAATGTAAGCCATTAACATATGACCTTTTATTTTTTTTCATTTTTGATGAGATTCAAAGCTTCTTTTGGGGTAAATATTTCAAAAGTTGTTAATTTCTATCTTGAAGTAGTAAATACCAACAACATAAGCCTCTCGAACTCGGGCTCCAAAGTTCAGTAATATAGGCTCCTTCATACTCCTGTTTGTGTAATGTACCTCACTGATGTTTCGCTTGGAGAATAAAACTTATGAACTGCTTCTTTCTTTATTAAAAAAAGCTAGTTTTTTGTCACCCTATCCTTTTTCTACATGTAGGTGTGTATATAAGTATGTACAAATATATGTTTGCATATTAGTATGCACAATAAAGTCTATCTAAAACAAGTTTTTCAAATTATATGGTATATGACTTTTCCACGTCTAGAAAATACAGATAAGCCAAAAAAAAGAAAAAGAAAGGAAGGAAGGAAGGAAGGAAGGAAGGAAGGAAGGAAGGAAGGAAGGAAGGAAGGAAGGAAGGAAGGAAGGGAGAAGAAAAACAGAAGTTGACTACGGTGAATAAGTTGGTACATATTGGTACATATTTTCTAGATGGTTCTCTATAATGATGATAATACTAGCTAACATTTATTGAGCATATGTATGTGCTAAGCTTTGTTATAGATATTAACTCTTTAAATCTTATGAGGCTGTTTCTATTATTATGCTAATTATACAAAATACATAATGGAGATGTTAAACAACTGGCTTAAAGCCACACAGTAAGTGGCAAAGCTGTGGGATATGCACTCATTCTTATTTGCTCCAAGGATTGAGATTTTAACTACTGCTCAACACAGTCTTTTATATAAAGATATATAATATATATTTTCCCCAAATGGGTAAAATGGGACTTTAATACAGATATTATTTTAAAACAAGTATTTTTTCACTCTACCAATATACTGGGCAAAGTTGAGGGCTTTATACGTAGCTCACCTTCCATGTAATCACCAAATTATCGGGCTCTGATCCTAGTCCTTCCACAGTTGTGGGATTTTTATCCGGTTCTAGAAGTTAAGCAGTTGTATACATGTAAGCTTTGTCTTTTTCAAACAGTGGAAAACTTTTCTATTTTATTTCACATCACAAAAGTCCATTTTTACCTGCAGCTTTAGTCAAATAGTGTTCAGACCGCTCACTGGGCAAGCTCCTCCCGAGGCTGTTCTCTGCCATCACTCGGAAGGAGTAGATCACATAAGGTGACAGCTTCAGCTGGGCTGTGGTCTGTGTCCCAGGAACCTCAGTTTGGTGGTGCCATAGCCCCGCCTCATGCATTGCATCTTCATACTCAATGATAAATTCTGGCCGTAACACACACACACAACGAATATAAGGCAGTGGATTCAGTCACTCGAGGGCAGGTTGCTAGAATCACTAATAGGGCAATCTGACATGATTAGCCAGACATGAATTATTTTGCTTTCAAGAAATATTTCATTAGAATATTTTGATTTCAGAGTTCTATCATTATCCTCAACACTTAAGCATACCTAATAATATTTCTCTGGCATGCTGAGTTTAGTTACTTTAACTTTTAGAAGGGATCCACATATATCCCTAGGAATGTTTAAGTATATGAAAAGATAGTTAATGTTTTCATAATAGAAGTGAAATTAAATACAGTGAGATGCCATTTTCTACTAAACTGGCAACAATCAAAAGTTGAACACACTTTGTTGACTGTGACTCAGATAAACAAGCATTCTCATACTTCGTGGGAAGTGTAAATTGGTACAACTTCTACAGAGGACAATTTAGAGCATTAATCATATTTTAACTCAGATACCTTTTGAATGAAAAATTATATTTATGGTAATTTATTTCAAATAAATGCACTCACACATGTACTCAAAGATACATGAAGAAGATTCACATTGCAGCATTGTCTGCACTTGAAACAAGCTAATCAATTAAATACAATATTGTGCATCCTCACAATGGAACACTCTGCCACTGTCAAAAGTGAATGGGGCTGCTCCGCATGTACTGAAATGGAGTGATTTCTAAAATCCATCATTAAGTCAAACCAAGTAGGGTATAGATCAGTACGCGCCAGATACCACACCCGTGTAAAGGTGAAAAGGTTTACTATGACACATATATATCCATATATGCTTGAATGCATATGTATTACCTCTCAAAAGATACATATATATGCTGGTGTTGCTGGAGGAACTGGGAATTGGGTGGGAGAAAGACTCATTTTCTAATGCATATCCTTTTGCATCTACCAAGATATTGTGGTATGTACATGTTTTGCTCTTATAAAAATAGGCATTTGGTTATTCATTAATTGCCTACTAAGTGCCATGTACAATAAGATAAATTATAGATACAAAGATGAACTAGGAACATCATGTGTTACAGTGCTCTTAAGCTCAGTACTTATGGTTTCTCCTTTCGATCTACATTAATTTGGAGGTGATCTTTAGTCTCATCAACTAATGACTTTCACATTTATATCTGCAGCCCTCCCTTTTCCCTGAACTGGATACTTGGATAATTAATTGCCTATTCAGCAATTTCACTAGTTTGTCTATTACAGCAACTTAAATTGGATATGACCAAGACTCATCTCCATCTTGCTTCCCTACTTCATCGTGACAACTTTGGTCAAAACCTTGAAGTCCTTAGCTCCTTTCCTTTTTTTGTACTCCCAATAGTCTCATTGGCTCTACTTCAAAATATATGCAAATATGACTATTTTCAGCAAGTCCATTGCTCTATGCCTATTCCAAGCCTCCTTAATCTCTTGCCTCAGTTATTATACATCCTACTAACTCACAGGTTTCCAAACTTTCTCAGTGCATGGTGCATTGAGTGTTTAGAAATTTGTTTCATGACTCTCTTGGAGAAAAAGAAGTGACTAACATTTCCAGGTAAGTAGTTAGGTCTATTTAACTTAATTAATATTCATGTCTTAAAAACTAAAACCTATGGGTACCTCATAACATCTGAAACCTTGTAAACAGATTGGACACCACCTTCCTTGTTTTCTGTTCTGTGCTGATTTTCATACAGTCCTTGCTTTTTATCACAGCAAAGGCTTCGCAGAGATATGACATCACTATAATATGATATAGCAATATCATGTCAAAACTTCAAACTGCTTCAAGCTAATATTTCCTGTGATAGACATCTCTGTTTTTCAAATATCCAAATTTAAAATTCAAAAACTTAAAAAAATATCCTGAAGCACCCCTGTAAATTTGCTGAGGTTCCTCAGGGTACTCAATGCAGTTTGAGAACAGAGACCACTGTTGTTTTCAGTAGAATAACAACATGATCCATGAACACTACTCTACTTAAATTCCTCCAATGACTTCCCAAACATTTATAATGGCGTATCAGACACTGCAAGTTCACATTCCACGCCCACTCTCCAACTCTGCCTTTTTGACATTCTCTCCTACTTCACCTCCTCTTGTTCAGTTCACTCAGCCACACTGGCCTCCTAGCAGACATGCCCCTGCTCTAGGGCCTTTGCTCTTTTTCTTGCTGTGTTGGGAAACTTTCCCACCCCACCCCCAGAAACTGCATACTGTGTTCACTTTTCCCCTTCTCATGTCTTTATTGACATACTCAAATGTTATCTTCCATGGGTATTTTCCCCCCCAAAGCCTCTTGCACTTCTAATTCTGTCTTAACATCTTCTCCTTAAAGGACTCAAACACATATGTGGCCTTAATGTGGCCTTTCCTGAACACGCTATACATAACTATACCTTGGGCCCCCATGTTCCTTAACTTCCTTCTCACTCTTTGTTGTTTTCTGCATGGCCTAAATACACACCACACACTTACAATGTATATACACACACACACACACACACATCAACCTTATGTATAGATTTATATGTGTTTGAGTCCTTCAAGAAGCAGATGTTAGGACAGAATTAGAAGTGCAAGAGGATCTGGGGGGAAATGCCTATGGGAGATAAAAGGGTGAGAAAGCAGGAGTAGGCAGGGAAGATCTTCAGACTCAGATAAAGGTCTGATGTCTGTGAAAGGCGAGGGGGGAAGGAAGGAGCAGTGTGTAGGAAAAGCCTCAGACTGCAGTCTCGTCTCAACCACCAGGAGCCCAGAGTCAAGTCCTGTGCTGGGTGCATCTGCGCTCTAGGACGCTTGCTGTGCTCAGTCACTGGAGTGGCTTAGGAAGATAGTGGTGTCATGTGAACACTGCAGCGGGTCTTTGGGGGGGTGCAGCAGATGGAGCCTGCTACTAACAGTCCTTACAGCAGGTTTCTTCTTGAAGAGAGTTCTGAGATGTGCATGTGTACACATATACATGTACATCAACATATGATGACATTATTTCTAACATAATATGTAATTAATTTTATCTCATTTGTGCCTTTGAGTAAAATATAAGCTCCATATAAGCAGAGGTTATTTTATTGTTTTGTTTTAGAACAATGCTTGGTACATAATGGACACTCAGTAAATACCTGTTGAATGAAGGTGTGAATGAAGGAATGAGTAGAGATGCCTGGGAATCTAATCCTATCATTGCAACAAAGTCTCCGAGCATCCTAAGATAGGATGCTAAACTAGCCCTAAGTCAGGCGAATGTATTGAGTTAACTGGAAGACTCAGTATGAATGAATGAGTGTTCTGATCATGGACACTGCAAAATCAATTGAGAAAAGAACACAACTGAATTACGCCAAATAGAGAGGTGACTTCGTTTAATTTTATTGACGATATTCTACTTTACCAGCATGTGCAATAAATCAACACACACAGGACTTCAGAGCAATCTGAGGTAGTCAGCAGAAAGGAACTTAGTTTTTCTGCAGTACACACCTGAAGGTAGTACTACAGGCTTGTGTCTTGCTTGTGGCTGCACTGAAGTATCTTTACAGTTTTAAAATGTCTAAGCTTATCCATAGCCTAACTTTATTAAGCTTTTCCAGTATCCTTATGGCATGGTCCCTCACCTGATTTTGTTCCCTAGGCTTATGTCATCAAGGTGAGGAGTTGACATTGCTGACTGTGCTGTCACTTTGTAGTAAAGGCTGATTAGAAGAAAGAGACCTGGGACTGGAAGTTAACAACCCTGCTGTCAACACACAGCTCTGTTACCAAGTGTAGGTTTGAAGAGTCACTTTACTCTCCAAGTGTCAATTTCCTAACATGTAGACTAGGCATTATAGCACCTGGCCCTCTCATCCTTTTCTCACGTGTTAATGGGCAAAATGAATGCATCTTCCTCCTGTGGTAGAAATTTAAGGTGATGCTTATGGATCTTAAACACAAAATGATAGTGTATTTACATAATTGACATCTTCAGCAATTAATTAGTGTCCTGTACCAAAAGCTGTAACAGAAATAACTCTAGCTTTGAAGGGAGCCATGACTAAATGTTTCTGTTCTAGTAGTAATGAAGCAGAGAGTGCCAGCAAATATCTCTGTGTGGAATTTCAACTGCATGTGATAAAGTGCTTCAACAATGGTCATTATTTTTATATTATAAAGTGAATGACACCACATACTTGTAATAGGGCTATTGTTGTCATCGCCTGGGGTCCATGACAGCTGAACACTTTTGTCAAGTTGATCTGTCAATTCTAAATCAAAGGGAGGATTTGGGACATCTGTAGACCAAAACACAGACATCATAATTAACCGTCCATCCTTATGAGGCTCTTGTTTACTAGTGATATTATTCACAGAAGGGACATATTAAAGACACAGCACACTGAATGGTCAACAAGCATGCAACTGAAATGAAACAGAAACAACTGAGGTTGCTGGGAACACACAAGCACACTCCAGACACCCATCAATGAGTTCTGCTTGTTTCTTTTTCAAATGAAACTAAATTACTTGTAACCAAAACCAGTGAAGTAGGCATGGATGGTTCACCAGCACTCTCAGTATGTGTCTTCTAATAAACATGAATGAGTGAACACAGAAAAAAATGTATAGAAATTTGATTTCTAATAAATGAAAAACAGAATAGTAGACGCTGAAAATCATACACAGGCAAGTACATGTACATTTTAAAGAAGACTAAAGAAGACTCAAATGTTCTTCCCAAAACATGCTAAGCTAAATTATAGATTTAGGGGCTCCTGAAGAACATATTTTTAATGGAATTCTAAAACTGATGCTATATAGGTAGCCCTCAGCATGCACACCTTATACAAATACACAGTACAAAGTCAGGCAGGCACATGGGGAGGTGTGTTTACTCTCCGAGGACACAAGGGTACAGATGCTTTTCAGGGTGAAGCTGGCCCAGAAGCTAATGGTGCTTCTAATGGTGCTTCTGAGATCCAGACAGCTAGTGTTCCTCCCTGGGACTCTTCCTGACTTTGCCCTGGGGTTGACTGTGGCTCTTGGGGGGGTCAGAAGCCATATACAAATATGGGCATTTTTGTCCTGTCAGTAAAGTAGCAGTAAATGTCTACAAAGGACAGGTCTATAGCACAACTAATAATACTGTATAAAATCCAGCTGCGTTTATGCCAGAAAATTAATTTATGTATTTATATGCTGAATAAAGATGAGGGTTCTTTAATCTAAAAGATTTCTGGAAATATTTCTGATTTATTTTCCAGACTCAGAACATTCACAGAACTTAAGTACCCCCTTTTGTTTTTTCTTGAATGATTTATCTTTTGCTAATGCACAATGAGTTGGTTTTCTCTGATACAAAGGTCCAATGTCGCTCTAAACGTCCATTGCTTCCCTATGTAAATTTCTTAAAACTGGAATCCTAAAATAACTACTAATAGACTGAGGTAAAAATCTGATTTGTGGGATACTTGAAACAGCTTTTTCATTCTGTAAAATGTAGATAATAGCTTTTGAGAAAACACTATGCTTCTTTACAAGGAAATTATACCAAACAGGGACTTGTATCCAATGAAATGACTCTATAATAACACATGGAATCTTTAGAAAAGACTGGCAATCTATTCAGCAGAAAGTTCCACAGTTATAAAGAAGAAAGAGGCATAGCAGTAAAGGAGAAATCCAACAGAACATTTGACAGAGCCCCTTTCCCTAAAGAACACAATGATATGATGGAACAAAGTAATTTTTCTGCAAATGTGAGAACTGTGTGACAGAAAATAGAGAAAGAAGACTCATTAGTTTACCGTAAATGGGAGCTGGAGTTGGAGTAGGAGCTAGAAAGGACATTAATATAAAGGATTTTAATCACAATTAGTAATGGAAAGATAAAAGATAGCACAAGAAGACAAAGACTGAACATGATTAAAATTATAAAACTAAATAAGCTTTATGCTTAGCTGTGAGATATGGAATTGATAAACATGCAGTAACAATTTAGGGGGGAAAAGCTTCCCTTTGAAATAAAAGTAGATTATTTTCCCCAATTTCTTAATACAAATATGACTAATATACCTAATCACTACTTTATTCCAGTACTGCTACAGAGTATATTTACACTGAAATTATTACCTCATGAGTATCTTGCCAAGAAAGAAACATATGAGTACATAACTCACCTATAAAGTTGTAAAACTCTAATGAGCAATTACTATTGACAATTTTTCCTTTCCACCTAACACGGGGCAGCCAGGTGTGCTGAGTGTGTCCCAGTTCTTACCAACAACGATAAGCACAGCGCTGGCAGAAACGTTGTCCAGAGTTGTGTTGGCCACACACGTGTAGGTCCCACTATCATCGTCACTTACATCAGTTACCACCAAATGGTCCTTGTCAATAGTGAACCTGTGAATAAAACACATTCAGAACAATGGAAATGGACATCTAACCACAATTAATGATTGCTTTACTGGCGTGAAGCTGTGGATTTGATAAAAGAGGAAGTTGATGAAGATTTGCAGCACATTAGAGCTAAAAATCTTATACAACACATACCACTTTGATAATGATTCAAACTGGAAAACAATTAGAATGAATTATCACCTTGGGTTATCAGGGCTGTCTGTTGTCTGGTCTGGCGGTGTTCAACCATGCCCCTGGAGTTTTAGGAGTTTTCTTAGAGACCAGGGACATCCAGAGGCGGGGAAGGGGGTGGGTGGGAGGCAGCTCCAGTTACCTTACCAGAGGGCTTTCCTATGGCTTCTGCCACTAAGACACTTTTGAACACCCCTCATCCAGCTCAATTTCTAATGGAGTATATATTTTAAAGTAATTCAGTATTTACTGTAGAAATTTTGTGTCATTTCTGCCACATGTATAAATTCTTATAAGAAAAAGTAAATGCAAAGGACAAAATCAGCTTCATCACTACACACAGGAAGATTTAGATCAGCAGTCACCATGAAGAGTTTTCTCGAGATCATTGCAGTCGTGAGAAATTACTGAGTAGGTGAAAAATCCATGAGAATCCTTATATCAATTCATGCAAGGTTTTAACAAAGCTGTATAAATTATTAACTGTCTTCACAGAGAATTTCAAAGTTAAAACTTTAGCCAACTTAACCTGAAGGCCATTACTTCATATTTTCTTCTCATCTTTGTCACTCAGATCCCAGAAGCAAAAGTGACCAGCGGAAGCATAGAACTAGATGGAAAGTCTGGGCATATAGAGAAGACCACATTTTTCTTTTAGGGGCTATTAACAGCAACAGGGCACCATTTCTGCCCCCTGCAAGCAAACCACAAAAACTATTTCCATCCGCACCTGGCATTCCTTCCAATAGGGGGTGATGCTTGTAGTCACACTCAGACAGCTGCAATCCACACCTTCAACTCCGTAGTTGCTAGGTCACATTGAGGGCCATAACATGCTCACACAAGCTAAGGGGCGGCAACAGGCTCAGGCTCTTTTAAATGCTGTTTAAACTTTTTCCTCTTTTTTGTTGGCTTTAAGTAAAATCAAAAGAAAACTCCCTATTGAAATAGAAACTAGTGTCCTTTAAAATACAAGGATTTGGGCACACTCCAGTGATTACAGAGGTCTTACTTTCTGCCTGTTTGTAGAATGGTAATGAAAACATCTGCTGAAATTTCACAGCACAAGGCAGAAAACAACAGATGTTGTCCAAAGCCTGAAAGGTTTTTCTCATCCTGAACTACAAAAAAAAACAACACACAGTGATAGACAAATATTCTCAGGCCCTTGTTTTAATAACTCGACGCCTTTTTAGGTACAAACATTATACAACAGGGAGGAAATGCATATCTATTTTGGAGAGGGCAGACTTCAGAAACATTTAAAACATTATGGTTAAGTCATTATACAATAATCCTTTAATTCAATAGCAGCTTAAAGAGAGAAGCAAGAGAAAGGAAAGAAATCGTTTTCAAATACCTTCCATCAGTGGGCAGCTCACCCTTGTCCTTCAGCCAGAGAACAGTAGGGATTAAGGTGTGATCATGTTTCACTTTGCACTCGAAGGACACTGTGCTCCCTCTTTGCACAACTGAGAATTCGGGCTGTTTAATGATCCTGGTTGGATCTGAAATGTAAAGTTATTGTTATCTATTGCCAAAGCTGGAGAATTTGCTCAAAGTCACAAAATTCTTGAAAAAAATTTGTCACTTCTTACCTTTGATTTCTAAGTGGGCTTCATTCTTTGCCATTCCTAACTTATTCCTTGCAACACACGTATAAGTTCCTGCACTGTCCTTTTGGGCCACAGGAATTTCCAAAGTCCCATTGTCATGTAAAACATAAGTATCTTCACGAAGAGCACTACCTTTAGCTCCTTTAAACCTTCATTATGGAAATAACCACAAAGAGAAATAAAACACATTATAACTCGAAATCAACGTAGAATGTCGTATTTGCAGTCAACATACCATGATCTGCATTATAGTATGAAGTTCAAAGGTATTTGGAACCTGCACAGCATATTGTATGCATATTGGTCCATGTAAGGATAGAATGTAAAACTAGAGAATCCAATGATCGATGATGCATACAGAATTAGACTGACAGTACAAAATACTACTTAAATTGTAATTTTCCTTATGAGAGACTCACAATTTTATAGACACATTATTACATACTCTCTAAATAAGTGATAAGATGGGCAAAAATGAAGACTGCTCTTTCTGACATTTTCCCCTACTGCGATGTATTTGTAACTCCATCTGCAGGATACAGTTCTAAAGAGATTTTGATTTCAAGGTTACAAAGGTTATACTTTTGAAAGTATGACCAGGAAAATATTCAAGGAAGAAAAAAAATAAAGCATATATGTAAATCATGTGTACCTTCAGCTTCCTGGCTAGTGTGAGACAGAAGTGAGGACGGATGAAAAGGCCAAGTCACCCAGGACTAAGTATTACCCTGCCACCTTCACTAGGAAATCACCTGCACAAGCACCCACGCTTCTCTGAGGGTGAAGTGAGATGTGGTGAGATTATCCTTTAACCCTGCACCTGGCTTTCATCTGCCATTGTAGGCAGAGCCTAGCACAGTGTCTGACACCTGATAGAGGACCAATAAATGAACGTTCCGGTTTTCTTTCACTCATTCTCTCTGAGCTGTTGCCTAAGATAGCCTTGTTTCTTCCAGCTCATGCTAAAGTCAGCAGGTTAGGAGGATGAACAGAACTTGTATCAGGAGCGTCGTATGAAAGAGACGGGCTGTGCAGGAAGTGAAAGAACACAGGAGAACTTGGCTGGATCCAGGTCAGGAAACTCAGCGGGGAGAGGTACTAAAGACAAACACTGGCAGTAAAAACAATTCTGATTTTGAGCTTATAGAATCTCTCCTCCCATCCCAAATGATATTTAACAATCAGGAAATGTCCCTAACCAATCCCTCCAGCCACCATTCACAAAGTCCCAGGTAATGTCTGTGGCATTGTAAAATACAGCAACCTCAATTTAAAAAAAAAACATTTACAGATATCTCTGTGGTTGACAAAGTGTGCTGCTAAATAGATCATACGTGTGAAAATATTTAGCACAGAGCAAGTAGTTAACGAATATTTGTGAATAAATTTAATAATTAATAGAATGATGGGTCTGCCCTCTCTTTCCCCTATCTGTTCTAACCCAACACACTGAAAAACATGAAGGCTTTGGCAAATGTAAATATTAAAAAGAAGTAGGGCCAATACTTACCATTCAATGGTAGGCATAGGAGACCCAAAGAAGGCACAGTCTAGTAAAGCAGGCCTGTTTGCAATCACCTGGTAGAGTGTGTTTGCCGATGTGAGGATTCGTGGTGGCTCAGCTGAAAACATTATAAAAAGGTAAAGTAAATATAAAATAAAATAACATTTAGACCCACCGTGGATTTTATTGCATTTTGTTTTAAGGCCAATAGAGTTTATGGTAAAGTACAACATATATGCCTCTGCCCTTATCTTTTCTGTCAGGTACGACACTACCAGTCACTCATGGAGGAAAAATGAAAGTTTTCTCCCTTTGCATCAGGCCTCACGTATTACTCAAACAGAGAATTTTAATAATTGATTTATTTACCTGTATCTCCTACTGTACCACGAGTCCCTTGAGGGCAGAGAATGAGACTTTTATTGTTTTTCCCCCCGAAACTAGCACAGTGTCTGGCACAAATACCATGGCTAAGTACGTTTTGTTGGTGACTGGCCCATCATTGCCCCACAGTTACCACGGGGGCGGGGTGGGAATGGAGCTGGCACAACAAGCAGAGTGCTGATGATTAAAAAGCAGACCCAGCCCTGGCCAGGTGGCGCAACCTGTTGGAGCGCTGTCCCATACATCCCCGGTTGTGGTGCTTGTGGCAGGCAACCAGTCTCACATCGGTGTCTCTCCTTCTCTCCCTCTCCACCCGCCTTCCTTCCTCCCTCCCTTCCTCTCTCTTTGGAACCAGTGAACATATCCTTGAAGGGTTTAAAAAAAAGGACTAGAAATGAAAAGTGCTTTTCAAACATCCACCAATATCTTAACTGCTCAGCTCGTTTGATTTGCTGACCTTCATTCAAACAAGAAGGAAAAATACCAAGTATTGGTCGGCTTCCTAACTTTAACTTTGAAAGGGAGCCTACTACACTTAAATTGAAATATAATTTCCTGGCACCATGAAAACAGTTGTCACATACAGGTTTTTTTTTCTGTCTTAAAATATATCACATAAAGTTTTAACAAATTTGGTATTTTGGTAGTTTTGTCCATTATGAGAAATACAATGTTCACATAAACCAAGCATTTCAAGATATGTTTGAATATGATACAGTTTTCTAAATGAAGTATTATGAATTAATAAATAAATGCACATCTGTAACTTGGATGAAGGCCAAATATGATCAATGATTTATCTTTAAAAAATCAGAATCATGAAATTGTTGTTCAAGTTGTCAGTTTTTAAGGCTGGAATAGCAATAATATTCCATTACTAACGACAGATCGATGCTGTTTTCCCACTGAGGGGTTTGACACCTGGTCTAACCATCTGTGAACAGAGAAGAATGACTATTTGATCATTTGTACAAGGAGAATATCCCATGATAGATACTGTGTTATGAAAGAACATTAAGAGCAGACTGCAAGACCCCTTAGACGGAGCAAGGTTTGTATTTTATTCATTTTTCTATGTCCCTTACTGCTCCAAGTGCTAAGCATTTCCGTATCGCATAGTAGATGCTCAGCGCATTTTTGCTGAATGAATGGGAAACAACAGAAGGCATTCACCTGATGTGCAACGTCTTTAATAAAGGAAGAGCTTACCCAGCACATTCACAAATGCGTTTGCCAGTAAATATCCATATTCGTTAGAAGCGTTGCACTGATACACTGCACTGGATCTTTCTTGAACGTTTGAAAAAATAATGGTATCACCATCTATTTTTCTGCTGGGGTCATCAGGGGCAACTGTTTAGGTGTAAAAATAAAAAGTATATATTTATTCTTCTTCGCTTAGAAGACGTAAAGCTTGAGGTCTATGTTATAGTAAGCAAAACAGAAATACAGACTAAGAAGGTATATCCAGTAAGAAGGACAAGACCATGAACCCAAGCAGAAGCCTAATTTTTCTTTCTCAGAATTTAGTTACCACTTAATATGGGTGTATGCTCAATATTCATTTAGTTTTAAGTAGATTGACTCTGTAAAACTGAATATTATTTTAAGAAATGCAGGAGCAGAAAAGCACAAGTTAGATGAAAACAATACAAATTTAGGAAAACATTGCCTTGTTTACAAAGAAACTGTGGTCATTTATGAGGAGGCAGGTTAATAATATACTAAGAGGAGATGGCAAAGTGAGTCAAAAACTATAGAAACCCTCTAGCTAATCTAAATCTGAATTTTTAAAAACATTTTACTGAAATAACTAGATAAACAAGTAAATAAATATAGAACTAATAATTAAATGTGAAGATATTTATTTTCCTGCTTTGGAAATCCCTGAGGCTGACATAGAAATAGATTGTATAAACTTTCTCTTGAAGGTAGTATTTTCAGCTAAATCTCTCAAGTAATTTAAAAAATGTTAACTCCAGGATTGATCTTTACTGAAGCAGAAAGAAACTGGTTGGGAAACACAATATGTGAGAATGATGTCTAAGTCATGCCCAACATTTGGGAGGTGCTGTGCTACTGGAGATAAATTCCTTTTTATAAACGCTAAACCTTAGGCTGGGACCTTGCCTTGCTTTGAAGGTACATTAAAAGGGATGATGGGTATCTGCCTCAGCATGCTGATCAAAATAAAAACCAAACAACAGCAGCTTTTCTCTTAAACTGCTTTTGTAAGTTTAAGATGAACTTTACTTTCATTCTACATACCATTTTCCTCTTCGATGACAGGCAAAGTATGTGCATCTAAGACATAATTATCACTGCATTTAAACTCCTTTGTTACTTCAAAGTCTCAAATATTTGGTTCATCTGTGACTTATTAACTCACTAATAAGAATAAGCCAACATATAGTTATTAATCCTTGTTTTACTACCCATATTCAAAGTATTGTGCTCATTCTTTCTTCATTAGTTTTCTACTGCTGCCATAACAAGTTACTACAAACCTAGTGGCTTAAAACCACACAAATTCACTACCATACAGATTCGTACGTAGTTGTTCAACACTCTGATCACAATCAACAGCTAATTTATGAATCCTCTTAGATGCTCCAAGTGGTCTGGTTGTGCCAAAATACTTGAGTCAGCATCTTAACTCATATCTCCTGTTTATGACTCTGGTATTTTCAAAATTCCCTTCAGAAACATGTCTGTTTAACCAGAGGACAAATATAAGTTCTAATTCCTTGCATAGGTATATATTTCACCAATAAAGTACAGCAAAGGACAGAAATGTCACACTGATCTTGGAAGTGAACTACAGCTGTAGCTAGGTAGCCAGGTACCTTGGTTCAGATCTCAAGTCTAGCATCCTCAGGGTCTTTCTGACTCACACGCTCTCAGTGATGTCCATCAACTGCCTTAATAAAGCATGCTGGGACAGAGCAGCATTTCTGAGACTCATTCTCTGTCAATTATTAGCATTTTTAGACCCAGCACTTGGGCACTCACTGTTGGAACTCCTCAGGGGACTCTCAGTATACCCACATGTCCATTTACTTGGACTGCACCTCTGTGTTTGTGCCAGACAGCGGAGGGCTGGGATTGGGTGATGGGCACTTTGGGCAGTGATGAGGCCTGGCTGAGTCTTTCTCGATGGGTGGCAGACTGAGTGGGAAGAGCTCCTCTGATTCCTTAAGTATATCAACCTCTCAGGAGTTATAGCACCCTGTGTTGTTTAATGGTGTAGAGTTCCAGTTTTGGAAGATGGAAAAGTTCAATGAGGTGAACATGTTAACACTACTGAACTGTACACTTAAAATGGTTAAGATGGTAAATTTTATGTTATATGTTTCTTAACCACAATCATTATTTTAAAAAGTTACATCCCCATGAACATGGAAGACCAGCTCAGTTAAACGAAGCTGGAGGACAAGCTTCCTCTGGTAAGGACTCTCATCAATCACATCACAACATGCATAAACTACTTTGAAAAGTTTTATGCAGCTCACAGTTGCACTTTTTAATATTATTCTCTACTTAAAAGGCATCCAACTGTATGTTCCCTATTTCCAGTAAATGGAGCAGGCTTTGCATAATTTTTGTCAAGGTATGTGGGAATAAAATAAACCTTTAAGTAAGAGTAGTGAATAAGCATGTCTCTCTCTATGGGGTTTGGGCTACATTTTCCTTAAGCACTCACTAATGAAATGCAAACAAACCCAAGAACTGTCCCCATGACATACAGAGGCTCAGTTGGTATTTGGACAAAGAATAAAACTGCTAGTATAGAGACACTTGAAGCCTTTTGGGCTCTGTGCTTGCTACTGGGTGGGAGTAACTCTCTAGCATCCAAATCTAAGTTATCCACAGGAATAATAATTGATTCTGAAAATAATTAATTTCATTTTCTATGAATGAATATGGGAGAAAGAAATTTAAGAGCATCAGGTCACTGCATGTAACTTAAAGCCCTGAGGGTAAGGTTCAGAACTGGGGTGACAGCCTCCCACAGTACTTTCTCTTATCCTTACTGTCCTGACATGGCTAGCCAAACTCTGAGTGCTTCCAACATTCAGAGAATGAGCCTAATAATAATTAGTGCCATCTTCCATGTATAGAGTACTACCGACTTTAAAATATTTTATATCTATTGCATAATTTTATTTTAAAAAGAACTTTGTGAACTAGATTAACTAGACAGAACATGCCTGTTGGAGATGAGACACTAGAGACTGGAACACTTCACAGTCTGTTTAACACGAGATCGGTGCTCAGCTTTTCTGAGTTAGTCTGCTTCATAAACATCTCCAGAAATCTGAACATTTGGGAATAATGTAGAAGAAGTCTCTAGATGAAGAGATACTTTTTCCTCTTCAATTACTTATTCCATCCACTAGAGGGGGATGCAAACTGGACCCCTGGCTTTTGAGAAATGGAGGAGGATGCCTTGGTTGAATCTTGGGAATATCCTGGTTCATTCCTCCATTCCCCTGGCTGCTTATCATGTGTTTCTGGTTTTCAGTCTCTCACTGCAATGCCAGCCATATACATAATTGTGTCAGGGGAAGGTCTTCTGTGTTCTCATTCTCTTCATTCCTTTTAACGTGATAATGGTGTGATCTTATATACGTTCCCTTATATATGCTCCCACAACTCACATGGAACACGATTCCAGATCTACAAGCATCAGGCTCTCCTGCTGCCTCCTACAACAGGGATGAGACCTATGGTGCAAATGGCCGTGGCCTTGGACATTTTCTTTCTGGTCCTGGGTTCTACTTCCACACTATCCCAGAAACTGCCAGTCATATGGTAAAATCAAAGTTCTCTTTCAGCACTAGCTCTCTGCAACTGTGTTCTTTTTCTTGACTTCTATAGGTTGTTTAAAAATATTTTTGGTAGATTAGGACAAATTACATATTGCATAGATTATTTTTTGCTTCAAGAAAAGTTTAAAGTAACTTGGTGAGTTCTGCGGGGACAGAGCTTTGGAAGACATTGAGATTAGAGCTCAGTTGTTGAGTTTATTCTCTCAGTTTTGTAAAACAGGTTCCAGGCCTGAAATACACAGTCACAAATCACTAACACCATTTTGCTAAAAAATCCCTCTCTCTCCCTGATCCTGCTTCTCCTTTTATAGTATTTATGTGCACTTGCAGCTAGGGCCTGCAGAGGTTGGAGGACTGTCACTGTCCTTAGGTGACTGCCTGCAAGTCAGGTGTTGGGGGGCTGTGTCTCTGGGAGTATGGTCCCCTGACAGTGTCTCTGCTGTGTGGCACCTGGTGGGGATGCTACACAGCTCCCTCCGCAATGATGCTGCAGGGGCACAGCTGCTCCCTGCCCCTCATTCTCAGCAGCTGCTCTACCCAAGGTGTCAGCAGCCTCTTTGGTGAAAGGTGTTGTTAGCAAGTCAGCGTGTGCTTCCAAATAACCTCTGCAGACCAGTCTAGCCCCTGCTGGAGTTTAGGAATATTTGCCATGACAATTCTGTGCCACTCTGTACTGCTGCAGACTTTGCTCTGCCTACTCCTGCTTCTCCACCACCGTTCCTCCAGGACCCATCATTGCTGGATGCAGCAAACTTTAGATGAGAAACACGCCCCATTCCCCTGTTTCCAGACCTCAAAGGCAATTCTGTTTAGGGTCCTCTAAATTCATAGGGGTACCATCGAGCAAGGTAAAGAGGCACAAAGCTCCTTGAACTTACATGAAATTCTTGACATTTTTCTTCCTCATTTACTCCTTATGTTGGATCAGGGTAGGTTAACAGAAGGTGAGGGCATGTCAGGCTGGCTTTGAACTTAGCTGTTTATGACTTAGCATCTAGCTAAAAGGCCACTCAGCAGAAGCTGTAGGTAGACCAGCTGCTCAGGGCGGGGAAAGGAACAGAGGTGTCCCTGCAGTATCATCGTGCAGAGAGCTATGAGGGTTCCCAACAAGTATCTCAGCAATTTACCTCTTAGTTATGAGATTCAGAAAAAGCAATCCATACACATTTAGCTTGGCCCCCCAATGTGGAGAAAGAAACCATTCAAGCATGCTTCCCATCACTGTGATGTAAACAAAGAGCACCTTCTGCTGGCACCATGCAGCAGCCTGGGGAGCCAGGGAGGGCCCTTGTCTGCTGCCACACTGCGCAGTGTTTCTCCCCTTGCCGGTCCACCAGAGTGACTGTTCTGAGGCACACCAGAGGTTGAGGGACCTCTGACACTGTTAGAATTCTGATCCTATCTTTGCTCAATCTCCTGCTTTCTTGCTTTAAGTGGGGACTTAAATACTTTTGAAATGGAAGAAACAAACTAATATGGAACCTGACGAGAGGTTTTTGTTCTTTATCTGCTCTGGACCTAATCAGATGATTTAGGGTTAGAGTAGAAGGACCTTCCTTGTCTCCTGAGACCACTGTCCTGTGCCAAGACCCCTCCACCCCCACTTGCCCAAAGCAGGCCTTTCACAGTTGATCCTCCCCAAAAACATTTCATTTAAAGAGGAGTGTCTATACAGTTCTTAATATAACACCTATGCTGGAACTGAGGAAGGATCAGCTTCATTATTTATTCTCCCCTTGTTCTTGTGTCACTGACCCACTTCTGTCTCAATTTTCCTTGCTTATGATTGCATTCTGGCTGCCAAGTTTGAAGATTTATCTTTTCAACATTCCCTGGCTCCCTGGTTTGCCTGCTGTGTGGCTAGAAGGATGACCCTGCCACCAAGTTCTGTGGAAGCCAGACCTCAGGTGCCCATTTAACCTCCCATGAATGGGTACAGGCCTCTGAGCTGTAAAACACAGTGTCCAAGTGCTGAGCATGCCCCGTCCTTTATTGCCATGCATTCCTAAGAAAAGCAGAAAATGTACCATAAAACTTGTTTTGGTTCGGGGCTTTCTCTTACTTTTTTTCTCAGTTTTCATTCATATGTCTCTGAGAGTGGTAACAGCTTCCCAATACACAACCACTCTGTGGTTCTTGATTCCGATCATGGTTAAAATCGCTAGTAGAAACACCCAAAACACCACTTGCTGGGGTTAAGATCTGCTTTAGAACCTGTTTTCTCCCAAGGGTATATTTCTTTTTACAGGCTCTCTGTTTCAGAGTATCGCCATGGACTGCTTAATGACGGGGAGCGTCCTGAGAAACGAGTCACTAGGCTTTTTCGTCACTGTGTGAAACCAACGACCAAACAGCCGGCGTGTACAGTCGGAGTGCACTTACACAAACCTAGGTGGTGTAGCCTACTACGCACTCAGGCTGAATGGTATACCAATGTTGTACGTGCCTTCTGTCATTGACTGAAAAGGCATGATGTGGCTTATGACTATATTGGGTAACTTCTGTGTGACCAAAACAAACTCCTAAAAATATTCATGGAATGGGGTGCTCTTACTAGTCCAGACTTGCAAATGTAAGGCCTTGGTAGTGAGAAAAAGAGACTTGTGCCATTTCAAATCTGCCAGCAGTTTTTAGATTCCTCTTAGGGTAAAGACTGTTTCAGGCAAGCCAGTTTAATGGACCTTTGGTTTTGGAAATATAGAACCAATTTTTGATTTTGTCTTGAGGCAATGAGGGTCCAAGCTGCCCAACATCATAAGCCTAAAAGGTTGTCTTTATTGTGAGTAAAGGGTATCTTTGCAGATTATTATGCTATTGACTGAAAGGGTGACCCTAAGGCTGGGTTTTAAAAGGAAACTGATCTCTTCCTCTGTGTGTAAGGGAAGGTCTGCACTCCAAGAAGGGGAAAAGCTCTAACATTCTTCTTGGGCAGCAGTTGGTGGTGGGTGAGGCTGAGAGAGAGGAGACTCACTGGGCTCTCTGTGCATGGCCGTGTCTTGGGAACCCAGTGGCAGAGAGGTATAATATTTGTTTTCTGTTTTCTTTTCTTGTGCTATAAACCCCTTCTACTATCCTCAAGCCTTTAACCACTTTTGTGTAAAACTGGTCTTTGCTGTGATTTAGGAAATTAATGGAAGGGCCCGGGGCCACACTTGAGGGACTACTCTGGGCAGCAGAATGGCAGTCTGGAGAAGCTGGCTGAGAAAACGGCCCAGAGGGGTCCAGGGAAGGTGGCAGGAGAGAAGTGACTCAGCAGCCAGGAGTCAGGGAAGCCGGTCCAAGACTGAGTGTCCTGCACATGACTGGGGTGTGTTCTTCTCTGGGTATTCAATGGGACAGTGACCTCTGCAGCCTTGAGAACTTGGGAACATCTGGGTTATATTTAGGAACAAAAACTCCTTAAATGAAGACAGCTGTGTTTCTTATTTTTATACCACTGGCTCTAACCCTAACCCACCTCCTCTGATTCTTAGATGTTTTCATAAACCACTTCACATTTTGAACAAGAAGATGATCTGAACTGCTCAGTGATTTTTATTTCTGACCCTGCCATTACTCATATGATGCATGTGAAAAAAACAAAGGAAATGTCCCTGAGCCCCAGTCAACACATACCATTATAGTACAAACTATTCAGTCATAATGCACACCTAAAGGTAGTACGATAAAAATCTAAAGGTAATCTGCTGACTATTTAACTTATACATGGTTTCTTTCCTTAAGCCAAATTATTTCTGCCATGATTTTTTTGTTGTTGAGATGTAGCTATGCTCTGAAAATACACCACAGTTAAGGAGCCAGTTAAGGAAACTTACTTTCTATTGGGACTCCGTTTGCTAACCAACTAATACTGGGTTTGGGGTTGCCGTTGGCTCTGCAGATTAGGGTGCCATCCTCTCCTGGGGACAGCACAAGATTTTGAGGTGCCGTGATCCAGTACGGAGCCGCTTCATTGAGAAAAGAAAAAAATACAAAAAATTGAATCAAATAAGTATTCTAGCAAATTTTGTGCATTAAACTATTTTTTTCATATTAAAAAAAATTTAATTATTGTTCAAGTGTAGTTTTCTGTCTTTTACTCCCATCCCAGCCCACCCCTCAAGTGCAGTGCATTAAACTATTTTAATAGAACAGGGGGACGGCCACCAGAGGGGAGAGGGGAGGGAATTGCAGGGGAAGAGGGGGAGGATTTACAGGAACAAGTATGAAGGACACAGAGACAAGAACTAAGGGGGGTGGAAATGGGAGGGAGGTGGGGAGCACGGGGCAAGGTGGGCTGGGATGGGAGAAATAGACAGAAAACTGTACTTGAAAAACAATTTAAAAAAACAAGAAAAAACTATTTTGCAAAACATTTGTTAGTTTTAGTTTTTAGAGCAAATAGATTTATAAGTGGTGCTTCAAACATACTTCAGATTTTCAAATGAATATGTAAAAAGATTCACTATGCATTCTTTCTAGAGCTTTTGATATAATTATCATCATCTGCTTTACATTAATTAATCATACATTAAACAGGTGAAAGATTTATCTAAAGGTAAGCAATTTACAGGCATAGATAGAGGTAAAAATGTGAATTTAAATTCTGAGCCCCACAGAATATATGTAATTATAAAATTAGAAAGCAATTTCTAAGTTTGAAAAGTTGCAAAGTTAATATATGTTCCCACAAGCCCTTCGTCCAGCCTTCTCTAATGTTAACATTTATATAACCATAATAGAGTTATCCAAACAAAAAATTAGCATTGGTACAACACCACTAACTAAACTACACACTTTATTAGAATGTCCTCAGTTTTTGCACTGCCTCATTTCTGTCCCAAATCCCTGTCCTGGGTACCACATTGCATTTACTTGCCATGTCTCCTCACTTAGCTTCCTCCAATTTGAAAGTTTCTTGGTCTTTTTTGTCTTTCATGACTTTTAACTTTTAAAGAGCACCGATTAGTTATCTTGTAGAATATCTTTCAACTTGGACTTGTCTTCTCATGATTAGACTGAGGTTTTGGGTGATGGATCCTTCTGATTACATCATATCAGGGAGTGCATGGTATCAACATGACTTATAACTGGTTGTGTTAATCTCAACACTTAGTTAAGGTGATGTTTGCCAGGTTTCTCCACTGTTATGTGATTATTTTCCTGCTTTCCAAACTTTATTCGCCAGTGAGTCACTAAATTCAGCCCACATTCAAGGACAGGGAAATTAATCTATCTCCATAGAAGGGAAATAGTAAAGAATAAGCAGACATGTGAAAACCGCCTCCGTAATTAAATTTTTTTAGCCACAGGGGCAGGGGTGGAAATTGAAGCTATGCAAATATCCTGTTTCCCTTGAAGGTTCCATCCACTAATTTTAGCATTCATCACTGGCTCTTGCCTGCAGCAGTGATAACTGTGGGATTCTAATGGTGATTTTCCATTTCCTTCCCTCTTTCTATATTTTTTAGTTGGAATTCTTTTGTAAGGAAGATTTGGGGGAGATAATTATTAATCTGATTTAGATACACTACAACATAAATAGCAATGAAAAGAGATTCAAGGTATAAATTTGATATAAATTTACATTTTATTATTGATGAATATAATGAAAGGCATGCTAATTGAAGATGAAGGGCCTCTCATGAATACAAGACCAGTGCATTTTAAACAGTGCATGATATATACCTTTAACTGTAACAGAGATGGTACGATGAATAGCTCCTAATGCATTTTTTGCTATACATCGGTAATTTCCGGAGTCTGCTTCAGAAACCTGAAGGATCTGTAGCGTTTTCTGAAAATTCTTATAACATGTCCGGTTGAAGGGTAGTGTTCCTTCTTCTTTCATCCAGTAAATAAGTGGCGTAGGCCTGAGAAGATAAATAAATAAATGATGATGATACTAAGAAAGAAGTTGACCTACCTACTTTTGAGGATGAATTTTCATGCAAGTTTGTCACAAATTCTTTATATACCCATAAAACTAAAGAGACGTGTACAGGTACTTTCCCATCACACTTTTATAAATAATGCTCAAAACCTTATATTTAAATCTATAAGCTACTATTTTCACATAAGCAGAACTGTATTACTTTATGTCACCCCATGAACTTTGAATTCAGTGATGCAGTGAGAATGCCCGCACTAGTTACTTTACTGAAGGGGCCTAAATGTTTTCTTCAAAGGTCTGATCAATGAGGCACACTTGGAAAATTTTGCATGGAGGTACTATGTCAGTCAAAAGGATTACTATGAATGGCCCTGGCTGGTGTGGCTCAGTGGAGGGAGTGCTGGCCTGTGAACCAAGGGGACAGTGGTTCGATTCCCAGTCAGGGCACATGCCAGGGTTGTCAGCCAGGTCCCCACTAGGGGGCATGAGAGAGGCAACCACACATTGACGTTTCTCTCCCTCTCTTTCTCCCTCCCTTCCCCTCTGTATAAAAATAAATACATAATTAATTAAAAATCTAAAAAAAAAGAATTACCACGAAATGAATGACATTGAGTTAGAATTTTTTATCAGCTAGAGTTAAAGATGCACAGAGAAAGAGATGAAACACATAATTGTGTCCAGGAACTTTTCCACATGTTTCCATATCAGATGGAAGAACCTTATTTAATAGCAGGCTATTTAGTAGTGTAAATGAAGTAATTAGAAAAATAGTGCTCTTTTTAAATTTCATTATTAGTTATATTTTAAAATATTAAACCAATTGATAAGAATAAACTCATGTATTATCCACACCATTTCTTATGGTGTTTTTCATTAAATTATGAAATATATATAGAAAGGAAAAGCCAGAACATAGGCTTGAAGTTAAAGTATCTACTTCGAAGTGCCAGCCCTGTTCCTAAATTGCTCTCTGACCTTGGACCCCTGACCTTCTTGGGGCTTCAGTTTCCTTAGCTGTTTTATTGGGGGTAAGATCAAATGGCTTTAGAATGTTTTCATGAGGGTAAAATAAAAGTCCATTCGACACAAACATTTACTAAGCACTGAACTAGAGACCAAGCACTGAGTTGTGTGTTGGGAAGATAAAGATGAAAAAAGAGTGATCCAGGTCCTCAAGAAGATCACAATATTTGTCATTAGAAATACAAGTGGGATTAATTGATTTTTAGATTTGATTTTGGTTTATTTGGTTGAATAAAAACAATTGAACATGCATAGCTCATGAAATGGCTTCTAAAATAAGACATGCTATGACTATAACAAGGGGTAGAAGATGTGAAATCATTTTGAAAAGTTAAAGATACTATACACATGTGGAATTTGACGGCATATTATGATGTTTCCTTATAGTCAGATTGATCTGCATCTCACACAGTCTGGAGGTGAGTGGGTGGCGCAGGTGGAAGCATGAGATCACGGCTTCACTAAGTCACAAACTGTTCCAGAGGCCTGCTGCTCTGCTGAGCAGGTGTTAGGAATTAGAAATATTTTGACTCCATGAGTCTTATGCTTATTGATTTGTAAGTGATAGAGCTCCAATCTTAGTTTTATAATATTCCAAGCTTTTAAAGAAATTTTGGAAGTTTGATGCAATTTCCAAATATTGACCATATTTTAGTTTTTAGGGTTCTTTTTTTTTTAGTATGTCATTTATGGAAAGGGGGATTACTAAATTGTGAGAATCAGTACAAAGGGTCGAAGGTTGGTAGATTAAATCACTTTTTAACACAACAATGATGAAAATTGCAAGGGTTTTTTCTTCTGTTTTTTAATTCTAGGGCAAGATATACACTTTAATTAAGGTTTGGCTGGTTTTCAGTTACTTGAGAGTGTGATTTCCTGACATGGCCAGAAGAGGCCTCCACGTGTCTCCTGCTGTTCCTGAAGGCTGATTCTAGGAATGAATGTGAGACTGCTGAGTTAGCAGGTCAAGGACAGCACAGATCATATGTGATCACAACATGTTTCTGAGAGTTTATTCAATGATTTTAGCACATATGCTTATATCAATTATCACTAGCTCTGCACCAGGCATAAGAGGGGACTAGGTAGAATCTTGCTTCTAATGTGTACCTAATGTAACAGTGGTTCTCGTATCTGAGTGAGGCCTTCCCACAACTCCTGTCAAAGGTACATGGGTTCTAGGGGTGGCATCAATTTTGAGGTGTGCACAGACAAGACATCTGCAAAGACTCTGGGCTTGTGACTTGCAATGGAAGGAACAGTGTGCCAGTTCCAAGGCTAGGCCCTAAGAGGTCATCTGTACCTCTATTGTTAGGAGAATTAGCCTGGGCTGGACTGCTCAGAGGGATGCAAGAAACTCAAAGCCAAGAGCTCAGTGGCCAGACCCTCAGAACTGTGAACCCGTAGCTGAACCGCCAAGCAGACACAAGAGCAGGCTCGACCTGTATCAGCTGGATCTAACCCATTCTAGCACAACTTCTCTGAAGACCTACAGAAAAAATATCAATGATAAATAGCTATTGTTTTTAAGGCACTAAGTTTTGAGGTGGTTAGTTACACACAGTAGCAAAATAATATACTCTAATTATAACCATAGCAATCAAAAGATGATTACTGCTACTTATTTCAGGAAAAATATATTAAAATATTTTAATCATATGAGATTCATATGGCCTATATTGGAAATAATTATCAGATTTTTTTTGATGCTTGATTGAATTAGTATAAAACAATGACTCTTCCTATGATATTAATATTTCTCTACCCATCTATTATGTTTTTACAAGAAATTAAAGCATTTAAGACAGAAAGCATTAACTCACAGTCCTTCTGCAATGCACTCTAGTGAAAGAACATTTCCTCTTAATTCCTCTTTGTTACTTGTGTTGCCTTCTGGAGTTAAAAATGTTGGTGGCCTCTCTCTATTTGATTTAGCTGAAAATGAGAAAATCAACATGCATGAAAAGTTATGAATATATATTTTTAGAAACACAGTTCACTGCCTAAAAAATCTAATCCCTTTTCAAAACTATTTGACATTGTAAAATTTGTTAAACTACACAGCACACTCTCTGCCTTACAAATAGCTGTTGCTCTCTCAGCCAGGAATAGAGACATTTGAGTTGCATAAGCACTAATAATAGTAAGAACTATTCTCTTTTCGTATGTTTTCTTAATTTGGGTTATATTCTTATAATTTTTTGTGAGAAAGTAAAATTTTAAAATGTAGATATAGAAAATCATATTCTCAAAACATACATCACTTAAAATTAAGTGCTCAGGTCACAGTGAAAATTGACTATTTACAGTCTGGAAGATGTTATATATTTTTGAAGAGTATGGCTATGGAGAGGCTATTTTGGTTTATACCAGGGGCTACATTACACTCAATTCCATAGATTAGTCATGTAGATAAATCTGTGGTAGATGTTTAACATATCAAACTCCCCAAACTGCAAGGTTTATGGAAAACAAAACAAAACTAGAAAGTTTCTGATAGAGGTCTGGCAAATTTTGCCACAAATGAAGTGTAAGAGTGGGGTTAAAGAAATTGAAATTGGTTTCCTCAATGAAAATGTAGAGAGAGCTCCAGTCAGAGCTCTCAGGGAGACTTAGGCCACCTTCTTTCTCATGGAGGCATTGCCTAAATGTGCCTTTATATTCTGATGAACTCTCAGAAAAACTTAAAGTAGAAATCACCATATTCAGATTCTACAGCCCTTTACAGTTTTCAGAATGTTAATGTATTAACTATTTGATGCTCACAAAAACTGAATAAAATGCAATATATGAATTATTCTCATTTCTCAGAAGAAAATATAGAATATAAAAAAGGTATTACCTGAGAGAGATTAGAGTCTTGCTAAGATTTTAGAGAAAGTAGAGGAAATCTTACCCTCTGAAATCACTTTGGGAATGGCTTTGAGGCCTGTATCTTTCAGGAGTATATTAAAATAAAATAAGACAGGAGTTGTGGAGTGCATACTCTGGTCATTGATAGAACCTTAATGTTTTTTACTTCACATCTCAAAGGTAAAAAATTAATACAGCAGAAATTCTGCCTTATAGATAATTAAGAAGACACCATATCCAGAAACCATAATTTTCATTGATCAACTCTGTATCTGAGACCCCCCACACTCCCCTTAAGAAAATCAAATTCTTTTCTTTTTGAAAGAATGAAATCAAATGTTTTATTTTTAGAGATATTACTTCCACTGAAGATAGAGACTGAGATTTAAACAAAACTAAGAGAAATACTACTGATAATTTTATGATATTGATAATGTCGTGTGAAAACAGATGGGAAATATGATGACTTACTATCAAAATCCACTTAATGTTAGTTGCTAAAAGTTACTAAGATTTTGAATAGTTAGTATTCAAGCAGGTTAATGCACCCTCTCAATTCTTATTTAGTTCATGAGGAAAATTTATGAATAAGACAACAGATGAAAAATATAATTCTGAACATACATGAAAAAAATGTCCAAATCACATGAAACAGTTCTTTATATGAAAACAGCATAATAATTTTCATTATTATACATACAACATGGAAAATGTTTTAGTGGCATGTTTGCAAGCTTACAGCTAAATTTCATAAAAAACATACATTTATTCTAGTGGTATTACACATGTAACTAGGAATTTCATAAAGAAAGAGGGTTAAATAGCCATGGAGGTGAAGTTAGTGAACTAAATTCTACAATGAAGGAGAGAATATCAGTTACAATCACCATAACTCACCACCATAAACCTCAGTGTCACTCAAATTAGCAGCTATAGTGTCATTCAATTCATCCACTGAAATAAACAGAACATTATGAAGATGTAAAAAATAGGGGAGAAGGTATTGTACAAAAAAGTCCTGGGCAACAAAAGCAAACATATACAGCTATGCTTACCAAGTACCATCCTCACCAACTGAAGAGTGCTTTACACTGTACATGACCAACTTGTTAACATACTCAGTTATCCCCAACCAGTATTATGTAAACATACAACTGAAGCTGCAGGACTGCCCATTAAAGGCATCATGGGGCATAAAGCACACATAAATGTGCAGAACTCCAAGTAGATTCAGAAAGGTATCAGGGAAACAGATATGTAAACAACAGCAGAGCATGTAAAACGTAGTATTTAGGGTACGCGTGCATGCCCTTTACAGCACACATGCCAACACTTCAGTCGCTCTGCACAGGTAGTTTCCTAATCAATGGATCTCTTGTTTTCTTCAGTTAGTAGTATCTAATAGTTATTATTTTGCACATAATTATACACATCATTGAAAGACAGATTCAGGAAGCTAAACTCTTACCTGAAACCACCTTTACAGAAATAGGTTGCTTCTGCTGTATGGTTTGAGTATGGTTAAATCTGGCATAACAGATATAGTCTTCACGGGTATCCTCTGGGAGAACATTGGAAAAATAAAGGTCTCCATTCAGACCCTGGGAAACCCTCTCGCTTTGTGGAAGTCTTTGAAAGGCTGGAGAAAGGCAGAAAGATAATATAGGTCATTCTATCATTAAGTGACCACTTCCCAAATTAGCAAAATAAGTGTATCTACTAATAGTTCTATGAATTTCACTTGAATATTTTTTCTATATAAAGGTCTTTGAATAAAAGCATATAACTATAAGCAATAACAACAAAATAACACACTAAAACTCCAATTGTACCTGTTGACTCTAATTTCTCTGGAGTAGAGCAAAGGTGAGATTAGAGTTGCACAGTGAAGTGTTCTATGAAGCAAGTGTAAACCAAAAAAAAAGTTTGGCAAAAAGAGTTTGCATGGCTTTTCCTAATATTTAAGTAGTTCCTACTTAAATTATTAAACACATATACACACATGCTTTGGAAAATGCATTAGGATGCTTGTAAAGATGTTAACTTGGGTTGCGTCTTCATAAATGGTTAGATATCAAATACTGTGGGAACACCTAATTGTGAGCCAGGCCCCGTGCAAGGTGCTGGCCACACTAGGATCCCTACCCTGTCTGAGCTTGTCTAACTGAAGAATCAGGCAGCAAAAGGGCAGTTAACAATAGGGTGCAATGACGGCACAATTTAATGCTGCACACTACCCAGCCTCCTTCACCTCCTCTACTTTTTCTTGTCTCAGTTACTTATCACCTTTTAACAGGTAAAATATTTTATTCGTCATATATATGGCTTATGGCCTGTCTCCCCATGCTGGAATTTAAGTTCCAGGAGGACCGACTATCAGCTGCTATGTCTACTGTTGCAGCACTAAAACGCAACTCTTTCTTCGCTTTGTCCTGCGGACACCACTCTCTCTCCTCTCACATCAGCGGTGCTCCTTCTCATCTGTTTTGCTGGTTTATCGTTCCCTGGGGGGCTCCTGGTCTCAGTCCCCCAGGCTTGCTCTTCACCACCTGCTCTCCCCCCTCTGTTCTCTCACCTACCACCTGCCTCCACACACAAACACTGCTGGCTAGAGCACAGAATCTTTCTTCTGACTCCTGTAGCTTTGACTCCTGCTGGGCATCTCTCCATGGATGTGTCATAGGCCTTTCACCTCCAAAACCCTGATTCCTCGTCTCCCAGCAGAACCATGTACCACCTTAACATGCTAACCTCTTTGTAGAGGAGGTTTTGGAGGGTGGAGAGGCAGAGCAACAAAACAATTCCTTCAAGGACAGGGACAGTGGACACATGTTAAATGGTGTAATGGATGAGTTCATGTCTCTGTGCCTTAGTTTCCTCACCTAAAAAGTGGAAAGAATAACCAGATATACTTCAAAGGGTTGCTGTAAAAAAATTGATGAGATAACCCATAAAGTCCTTAGTGAAGGGACTTAGTAAATATCCAACAAATATTAGCTACTGTTGGGGAATAAAAAAAGAACAAAACAACAAAAAAAGCAAAACAGCTTGATTTCCTCTCCTCTATAGGCTTCTGCTATTTCCTTTCCACCAAAATATTTAGAGGTCTGCCTTATTCTCTCAGTCTGTTAAGTCTCTGCTCAAAATTCTGCTATTTTCCACCATAGCACTTACTGCTAACTGACACATGTTTTCTACATGCATTTATTGTCTGCTTCCTTCTCTACCCCTATCTGTCTCCACAGCATAGAATATAAGCTTGAGGAGAGCAGAAAATTTTTTTGGTTTTTATTTAGAGCACTGCCTAGTACATAGCAGGTGCATGGCAAAATCAAGTGAATGAATGAAATGACATGTTATTTATTGAAATGAACATATATTTTCCAGAGCATCTCTAAAACAGTTTATGAATCACAAGAAGTAATGATTTATTGTTATAAGAATAACAATAAATAGAGCAAATAATTATAAGAATCTTTAAGAAATAAAGTTTGTATTTTTAAAACTTACAATTATCCATCCAGAATATTATAGGTGGTGGTAATCCAATTGGGGGTCTGCAGGGAAGAACCAAAGACTGGCCGCTTTGAAGTGTTATTGGTTCAAGTTTTTCTTTGGTCCACAATGGTGACCCTATGAAATAAAATAATAGCTTCTAAGTCATTTCTGCATTGAAAAAGGAAAAGAGCACTAGAAAGAAAGACAAACTAAACTTTTGGGAAAACAGTAACTCGTTTATGTACATTATGTTATTAAGATAACAAGAAAATAATTTTTAAATAGAGTGTTAAAAGTTTAAAAAATGACAATTTCCATTCACTGCCATTAGTAGTATAAATTCTAAGTCAGTGATTCCAAGCCAAAGAACATACATATGCATATATATGTGTGTTCTTATTAGATTTTATTAACTTATTTTTAGAGAGAGGGGAAGGGAGGGAGAGAGGGAAAGAAACAGATGTGCGAGAGATACATCCATCTGTTGCCTCTTGTATGCTCCAACTGGGGACCTGGCCCACAACCAGACATGTGCCCTGACTGGGAATTGAACCAGCAATGTTTTGGTTTACAGGTTGGTGCTCAATCCACTAAGCCACACCAGCCAGGGACTAAGAACTTGTATTACAAAAATTAAGAAGATATGTAATGATTTTGTTATAAGCATGTTCATCACAAAAGAATGAAAAATATTTAAATGTCCAAAGATTTGTAAAACAAATAATATAACTGTACAACAGCATCTTTGAATATCATACAGTATTATAAATTACATAATAACTATATTTATTTATAAGATTGATATGAGAATATATATATCATAGGTAAGTCAGAAAATGTTATAAAATAGTACTTCAGAATGAACTTGTTTCAAACACATACAAACATAGCTAGAAAAAATGGAAAGAACAGTAAAACTATTCTCTTGAGTGGGAGAATATGAGTAATTTTTAAATTTATTTTTATTTATAATTGATTTTTATATAATGAACATATTACACATATAATAAAAATGTTTTTTAAAATGACCAGAACTGCTAATGGTCACTTTTCTTTAAACACAGGCTCTTGGGCTGTAGATAGGATTTGGGGACAGATCACCACAGTATCAACGTGGTGAGGCCACTCTATCTCCACCTAAATTTTGAAACAGAAATGTTAAAAAAATTACACTTAGACTTCAATTAGCCAATTCATACTAAATTTATTTCCATCTGGCTGTAGGGAGCTTCCTCATACATAAAATACATAAAAAATTAATAATTAGAACAATTTGGGAAGGAAACACTTTTCTTAGCTGTTGTGTTTAATTCTGGACTTTACAAGCAAAAGACATACTAGATTGGCAAAGTATTAGGCTGAGGAGTTTAGGGTAAAGTGGAAAGGAATGGTAATTTTCATGCAAACAAAGTCAGAGCACTGGAATCAATGCCATTTCTTTCTTTTATTGGTATCTAGATGACATAATGGATGCTGAGTCTCAGAGCCGTACTTTCAGAGGGTCCACCTGTTGGAGGACAAGTCCCACTTACTAGACGGACGGACAACAATGTTATTCGAAATTGCAGCTCCACGTTCGTTCCTAGCTGTGCACTGATAGACTCCTTCATAGGTCTCTGCTTTCCCTTCACTCATGATGTTTATTATGAGGGTTCCTGAGCCAGGATTCATAGTAACCAGAGGGTCTTTATCTATGTCAAAGTGAGTCCCATTTCGGGTCCAGGAGAAGCTGCCCAATACATAAAGGATTAAGCTTGTTAATGATCTAGAAAACCAGGATTATTTACTATTTAACAAATTCCTAGCAGTTTATGGGTTTCCAGAAACACTTACTAGATTTTAACATTCAGTAAAAAGCAATAGGCTCCATACCTAAAATGTTTCACTGAATCACGACTTGGAAAAGAGTGCTGGCCACACATTTTAAGGCACATGTCTTTATTAGAACTAGCTGAAATCTGACTCAATAAAAAAAAATAACGCACATGAACTGCCTGTCATTTTTCAAAGAAATACGGAAAGTAGGTCTCCTAGACACACTATCTGATAGCTTCATTAGCATTTTTATTGTAAACTCCATTGTTCATAGCTTTGACAACCTCACTACAAAAATTTGCTCTGGGCTGAAATGTGACAAGAAAGGACTTTACAAGTAATCAGACAAGTTTCAAGTTACCAAAATGCAAAGTGTAGGTTGCGGGGAGGGGAAGAACTATGAGTTCAGTGGTGTTTTAAATGTTGGTTATTAAAAGTGGTAATTCTATATATAATATATTTTAAGAGTTTTTAATTCTAGAGATGATTTTGTAAATTACTTAGGAAATATTTCAAATTATCAACTGAAATTCTACTTTCTCAGTTTTATTTATATAGAAGATTCCTTTATATAAAAGTCACAGTGCTCAAGTAATTTAATATTTTATAACTAGTCACAAATAAACAATGAACATACTCATACAGAGGCATGAATCTCTCAACTTCACTCTTTTCTAGGCCCACTTGGATTTCCCTCCCCCTGCTTTCCTGTAGCAGTAGTGGTCAAAACTGCTAGGGCGGGAGGTGGTGGTGGGTGCTCCTGGCATATACTGGGATGCTGCTAAATAACCTGCAATGCACGGGACAGCCTACCCCACAGTAAAAAATTATCTGGCCCATGATATCAATAGTGCTGAGATGAAGAAACTCTGCCTTACAGAGAGTTACAGGAGGTATTGAGTAAATGTGAAACTAAAGGGGAACTCTATCAAATGACATCACGTTAGGGCTTGAGTGCTAGAGAGTTTCTAGTGACATCGCAGAATATATTGTTTTTTTTTTTATTTTTATTTAGTTATTTTTTCAAGTACATTTTTTGTCTATTCCTCCCATCCCAGCCCCCCCCACCCTGTCTCCCCCTCCCTCCCTTTATCCCCTCCAGTCCTCATCCCTGTGTCTTTCATACTTGTTCCTCAAAATCCCTCCCCATTTTTCCCCTTAAATTCCCTTCTCTCTCCTCTCTGGTCGCTGCCCCCTTGTTCTCTATTTCAATATCTTTGTTTTTATTCTGTTTGCTTGTTTGTTTTATTGTTTAGCTTCCTGTCAAAGGTGAGATCATATGGTATTTGTCCTTCAACGCCTGGCCTATTTCACTCAGCATAATGCTTTCCAGTTCCATCCATGTTGTTGCAAAGGGTAGTAGCTCCTTCTTTCTCTCTGCTGCATAGAATTCCATTGTGTATATGTACCACAATTTTTTGATCCATTCATTTACAGACAGGCACCTAGGTTGCTTCCAACTCTTGGCTATTGTAAATTGTGCTGCTATGAACATTGTGGTGCATAGGTTATTTGAAATTGATGTTTTAGGATTCTTGGGGTATAATCCTAGCAGTGGAATTGCTGGGTCAAAAGGCAGGTCAATTTTTATTTTTCTGAGAAAATTCCATACTGTTTTCCATAATGGTTGTACCAGTCTGCAATCCCACCAACAGTGAACTAAGGTCCCCTTTTCCCCACAACCTCTCCAACATTTGTTGTTTGTTGCTTTGTTTATGATAGCCATCCTGACTGGTGTAAAGTGGTATCTCACTGTGGTTTTAATTTGCATCTCTCTGTTAGCTAACGATATTGAGCATATCTTCATGTGTTTCTGCCAACAAAATATCAACAAAGACATTGTGGCATTAAACAACACCCTTGATGAAATGGACCTAACTGATATATACAGAGCTCTTCACCCCAAAGAAGCTAAATACACATTCTTTTCAAATGCACATGGAACATTCTCAAATATAGACCACATGATAGGACACAAAACAAGCCTCAACAAATTCAAGAATATTGAAATCATACCAAGCATTTTCTCTGACCACAGAATGTATTGTTTTGAAGCAAACCATGATGAAAGTTTTTGATATACTTCTGTATTTAGTACCCATTAATTTTTTCTCAGGTGCTAGTCTGTGATAGTTTGATAAGGCCAGTAATAGACAAACTCAAAATATTTTGAAACTTTCACTTCTTTATTACCTAAACATTTAAATTACATTTTAATAATAGTAATCCAACTCTCCCAAACTCCTATATATTACTAATTAGCTGTGAGACCTTGGATAAGTTATCTAGGTATCAGTTTCCCATCTATAAAATATATTGGTTGGACCAAATCATTTCTATATCTCTCCCAACTCTAAAATGTCATGCAGTGCTCACAGAACTCGGCCAAGTGTGGAAACCCACTTAAGACTATTTTACAGACCTTTCTAGAGATAGGAGAGATCTTAGAAGTCATCAAATTCAATTTCTTTATTTTACAAGTGGAGAAACTGAGGCCCAGAAAAAAGGGATTTGCCTGTGTCATAAGTCAATTAGAGTCAGTAGAAAGTTCTTTCCACCATCTCCCCACAATTTTTGAGCATTTCACAGAAGGCATGAATGCAGAAATGCAATCATCTGGGTTTCCAAGGGCAAACTGACTAAGCAGAGAGACAAAACAGTGAACCTACAAATGACACTTGAGTGATGCACAGGACATTAATCGATGTTAATGTCCATACTCACTTTTGTTACTATAACAAAGCAGAAAGCACACCCACCTTGGAGGAGGCTTCCCTTTGGCCTCACACTGGATCACAATGTTCTCTCGAGGGTCAATAATGTAATCTTTTGGAGACTGTTGAGTAATGGTTGGAGGTTGTACCACTTAATTGTGGAAAGAAGAATAATACAAAGAAATAAATCATTTAATATCATAATAGCAATCACTTTTTCTTGATCAAAATCACCACAGACTAAGTGTGCTCCAAATGTTTTTAGAAATTTCTATGGTGGCAGCACATACTCAGTCGACTTTTAACCAGCAGTCTCCTCAAACTTCGAGGTCAAGCACAACTTCCTTTTCATAACTTTATATGTACTACTCACAAAGTCTTTTTTTCCCACCTAAAGTCTGGGAAAGTAATCACCAATACAAGTTTAAAGTTAAGACAGTTTCTTTTCTGATGTAACAATGAGAAATTCCTTCCTCCGATTCCTTTTGTCCAAACAGGCCTTTCAGGGAAATTTCGGTTGTGAAGAAAATTTGCATTTCTTAGGAAAGAGTAACTGACTTGTAGTTCATTAGCGAGCTAATGTAACTTAACACACAGCCTGGGCAAAAGTAGATTTGCAGTTGCGAATATGCAAAACACCAAGTTTATTCTCATATTGTTACTTTTGAATTATTGTATTATTTTCCACATGAACAACTGTAAATCTACTTTGCCCCACCCTGTATGTTAAGAACAAACACATTTGAGAAGTTAATGCTAAAAAGATGGTTAAATTAGAGACTTGACATGTCTTATTAGAGTCAGGGTGTATATAGGTAGCTTAGTAGGAATCAAGATAAAAGTCTTGTTTAGGAGATAAATAAATTTGGGAAGTTCTCTGTTATAAGAGATTATATTTCCATGTCACTCTTCAAAGTTATATATGATCATTTATTATATAAACCATCATGACCAGGAACAATTTAATTTGAAGAAAGCTGGTATCTGGGCATCCAGCACTCAAGTCACTCTAAAATTACCATATTCTTCCTGTGAAATCAGAATTACAGAGTGTTAGGTAGGGGCTCAAAACATAATCCATTTCAACTTATTTTTTGCTTAGGGTGGCAACTAGGCTTGACTAGGAAGGCACAACAGAGTCGAGAACCAAACTCTCCTGGTTGGAACTACTGACTTGCCCAAGGCCAGGGAGCGCTAGTGCTTCCCAACCAGGGGCAATTTGCCTCCTTCCCTCCAGGAACATTTGGCCATATCTGGAGACAATTTTGGTTGTCACCTCTGGGGCTGGCATGGTACTGGCATCTATTGCAGAAGCCAGGGATGCTGCTAAACATCTTACAATGGATAGCCCCTCCCTGGGACACAAGTTACCTTGACCATTGAAGTCTTCCATGTTCTAGATCTCCCCTTCCCTCCCTGCCCATGCACTGTGCTTCCTTTGTGAAATCTCTTCCACCTGCCAACCAGGTGCTTCCCTAAGCTTAACAACTGTCCTCTGCTTTTGTCTGTCTTTCCTGTGGTTCATTGTCGCCAGGGCTAAATTTTTTACTTCCATGTCCAAGTCTCGTAGCTCTGCACACATGGTTCTCTTGTCTTGCTTTGTCTCCAGTACTGCCCACCAGACATCTTTTACTAAGTATCCAAATGACACCTAAAATACAGATCAAAAGCTGAACCCATTATCGTCACTACTTATTGTGCAACCTATTACATGCGAGACGCTAAACAGTACCAATTTCCCCTCCCTTTAGCAAGATCCACCTCCTCCTCCTAATACACCAGCTGCTCTTTCAGCCTCCACAACAACACGGAGCCCTCATTCTTCCAGCTCTGTTTGCTCCCAATGTTGCTTAGTAGTTTGTTCTCGTGATGAAGAACTAGTCTGTTTCTTTTTCACCAGTTTTCAGATGTCAAGCAAGTTTTTTTAACTTCTAAGTCCTAGTTTCCTGAGAGAGAAAATGGGGTTTAAGAGTAGTATCTAGTACCTGAAGTCACTGAAAGATGAAATAAGTTGTGTAAACTGCTTAGTACATGCCATTATTACAATGGTTTAGTGATGTTAGCTGCATTTACATTACTATCAAAATTATTATTATTGGGACCGGCTTCACCTTTGAGTGATCCTTTAGGCTCTAGGAGTATAGCGTTTGGGATGATGGAAAGAAACCTGGAATTTCACACCCAGAGAATAGTGGACATAGGTGGTAGGTGAGGGAATTCTTAGAAATGACTCAGCCCAATAATTTTTTGTGCTTTTCTGCAAGCAACAGAAGTGCAAGTCTGGTGGTTTCAGACCCACAACTTCTATTTATGTGTCAGCAGAGCTAGCTTAGATGCCACTCCTAACTGCCAGGAGTTTACCATCTAGACCACGAGTGGCAAAGAGAAGACCCACAGGTGGCAAACATATGGCCCTCCAGCCTGTTTTACCTGGCCCTGCAACTCGTTTCTACCCAGGGGCAGCGCCGAGCTCTCGCTTAACTGTTAAGGAGTAGTTACATTTATACGGTCCTAAAATGACACTCGGCCCTTTGAAGGCAACTGTGAGGCTGATGTGGCCCCCCATGAACATGAGTTTGACACCCTGATTTAGCCAGTGCTTAAATCACCTGGCAACTAAAAAAATGCTGTCAAGTAATAAAGGAAAAAGGCGATTTTATATAATTTCCTGGTTAATCCAACATCAAAATATTTTTCAAATGCCTGAAAACTGTGTTTTATGTATATGATAGATGCTGCTCAACTGTCAGAAGCAGCAGAAGTTTTTGCTTAGAGGAGGCCACTCAGAAACACTGTGAGGGAGAGCTGTTTATTGCCTTTTGCACCTTTCAAAACAATATTCAAGTTCTCCAGGCCATTATACTGATGACACCTGGACATACTTGTCTACATAGTTCACAGGCTGAAGAAGGATAAGAGGGCATACAGATGCTGACTTGGATGAAGCATCTGCATGCATTCGCTTTTCTAAAGATACCAAAAGACATGTCTGTATTCCAGCAAACATTTAATAGCATTTGAACCACGTAGCCATTCTCTTTAAATTTTGTGAATTTTCTCATTGAGTTACATCAGAAGTGAACAAAGCACAGAAGTTAGTAGAGCATAATATAGGTAAACGAAAAATAGTAATACCTGAGTCTTCAGAATTCATGCAGGGACTACATTAACTTGCTTCTTGGTATTTTAATATTTAGTCACAGTAAATACGCATGCTTCAAAATACTTTAGTCACAAAACACAAAATTGTACAATTTAATTCACACTGTTCATTCAAAAACAAAGACACGGCCAAATTTTCACACTGCCTAGTAATTACAGAAGGACACTTACAGTCTTCAAGAAGTTTTGCTTTTTCCCATCAATATCAGCAGGTGAGTGGGCAAACAGGATTAAAGAAAACCAAATGTTAGTAATAAGAACGTTAGAACCCTGAAGATAATAGGGGCATCTTGTCTATTTGATATGACCTAAAAAACTAGTACGGCAAAACTTGCAGTGGTGAAGTTACTGGAGCAACTCCCACGCATGGCCTTCTTCATTCCTGAAGCAGTTTTCCCACATAACATATGGACGAACCAAAAGGAATGCTGTGGGCAAAAAATGGTTCTTCCAGGAGTAAGAATGGCTAATTCCATTCTCTCCATGTCGTACTGGACAAGTAATTACGTTCAATTTGAAAAACTGCTGAAATCTACAATTAATTTGAGTGGTCACATACTTTGTAGTGTCTGATCCTATTATCCCAGACAACACGATACACACAGTGATGATCCTTAACAATGGGACATGGCTGCAATGACAGTACTCCATCCAAGACAAACCCAACACTGATTTTAGGTTTTTATATTTCTATGGTTCATCCCCAAATCACACTGTTAGTATATTTCTGCTTTCAGAATTCCTTCATCACCCAGGGGTAACAAGTAGCCACATCAAGGAGCAGCTCATGTAGAAGGGATGTAAGAATTAGGGGCAGAGAAGAAATTACATTAGTATGCAATTCAAATGATTCTGCAGGGCTGCCTGTCACTAGTACTAGCAAAGGTTAATGCAGGAGCGCCTGCCTTGTCTGCGACTTTCTTTTCATCATGGTTCTGCCTCTTCTCCATCAGCAGGGATAATTGAGTTAGCCCTAGGTGACCATTTCCCTCAGCTTGTTAGATTGAGCAGTCAGATAAAGGGGGACTATATTTAACACAAAAGACAACAAAAGCATTTCTCTCCAGTGCTTTTCTTTCTTTCCTATATATCTCTTAGGGCAAGTGCTTACTTAAGCATTCCAACTCCTATTTGCATAAGTAATCATTTTTTTGAAAGTTGAAGTTAAAGTCATTGAAATAATATTTTGAATATAAGTAAAATATTGCATTTTATTGTACTTTAGACTTGTAAAGGCAGAGGAAAGGAATTCAACAAAGTGTGAAGCAAACCGCTTCTTAATGTCTTCCCACTGGCAGTTGCAACCTCTTTGGCAAAAATGGCATCCCAACAATTAAACAGACCCAGCAAAGTGTTACCTTCCTTGCACCTTGGAAAGCTTGCCAAACAGATGTCTATTTCAGGAAGCTAATGGATTTAAGGAGGTCAGGCAGATTAGGGATAAAGAATAAATCAATTCTGAAGAAGAGTAATTGTCCAGATTTGAAATTCTGCTTTCCATTGCAAGAAAAGTGACCAGTTGAAACCTAGCATTACCTTTATTTTTCATAAACAGGGCACCCAGACCAGGGAGAGTCCAGCATACACTTTACTAATTAGGAAAAGGGTAGGCTAATATAGTAGCTGTTACTTGCTCTATTTTAAGTAATATTTTTGTAGATGACTTGCTTTATTTTCAAAATTCACATCTTGATCTTTGATTACATATTTCAAACACAAAGGACCCTTCACTAGGCTTTAGATAAGATACATTTCCTAGCTCTAAAGTCATATTTAAGATTCAAAAATCAAGGAGAATTTTTCCTTGTTTGAATCAAGAGTAATGTATTATGGGCAGTTTGGGGATGTAGAAGCGGTGTGGTGTTGGCTGAGATACCATCTCCTGGTCTTTTCCAGAGCACTCTCAGCACATGAGAGCGTGAAGAAGTGGGGAGGTCTCTATAATCATTTTTAAGTAATTCATATAGCTCTCTAGCAGTTCTGCTTCTATAAAGAGTCTCCTGTTGGGAGGATCAGCACAGCCCACAATTCACTCCTTCTTAGCCCCCCCAACCCCCCATGGTACACAAAAGGCACCTGAGGGAGGAGAAAGATAATGATAGGGAGGGTACAATGTGTATGACTGTTTCAACAGTGGTTTCTGTGGTGTGATTCTTCATAAACATCAGGTGCTGAAGGTAAAAGCCAAATTAATTTTGATTAGCTTTCAGTATCACACAGACACCTTCTCCATTCACACAGTTCAGAGTGATGGTAAATGCTGGGGAGGTTTTGACTCCCAGGTCTAACAGCTTTAAAACGTTAATACTTACGATCAAGAGGTACTTCCAGTGCACTAATCATCTGGCACAGGAAGAAAATCAGGGGCACTCTGCCTGCAGATAAGCGCTTCTTTTTCGGCATTATTTTAAGCTGCATTAGCTTAACTCCTGCTGAGACCCACAAACTGAATTTCCTTTTCTTCTTTCACAAAAGATTTGTGTGCAATGTCTAAGTAATTTTCATGCAGGAAACTGGAAAAGGATAGAATAAGAGTTATAGTGTATTAAAAAGAAGGAAATGAGTGGAAATCTGCAGCACTGAAAATCAGTCCTGGATTATATATGAACTCTAAAAGTAAACTGCTTTTTAAATATTTAACTCTCAGGATCAGAACAATCATTTATTCATAAACAAACTGAAATCAGGTCAGAAATGCTTGTAGTGATGCTGAGCAAACTATGCCTACATTGCCATCTTTATGGTCTTTTTCATTTTAAGTATCTGCATTTGTATCACAGGCTGCCATGCTCTTCCTCCTAGGTCATACAAATGTGGTTTACAAGTCAGTCAGAAAGTATGACTTCTGAAGGCATATTGGCTTCTTTGTTCTAGAGATTACCCCAGAGAAACTCCAGGGCATTGTTGCAAATCGGCTTCAAACCACATGCACTGATTTGCCTGCTTAACCACTGACAATTCAGGCCCTCCCCATTTCTTCTATAGACAGTGACAACAGACATGCCCAGGCTCTGAGTTTCAGTCCTTCTTCACTGAAGTCACCCACCTGAACAATTCTGATTAATTCTTCCTAAAGGGTCTTATTTGGTTAAACATTGGGAGTAGCCATATGGGATCTACCAAATAGAATTCAATACACCCTTGGACAGGAAATAAAAAACCCCTAATAATTGGGCTTCATTTTATCCTATTGACTTTTATCTCCTCCTGTTTTCACATGACTATTTTTTTGTTTGATGGTTTGTTTCTGTTTTTCTTTCTTGGGTCAATGCCTTAAAATTTTCCACCTTCTTGCCTTTGTATATTCTTTTAAAATTATTTATTTATTTATTTGTAGAGCGGGAGGGAGACAGAAAAAGAGGGAGAGAAACATCAATGTGCTGTTGCCTCTAGCACGCTCCCCACTAGGGACCTAGCCCAAAATCCAGGCACATGCCCTGACTGGGAATTGAACCAGCAACCCCTTGCTTTGCAGGCTGGCACTCAGTTCCTCAATTCACTGAGCCATACTATCCAGGTTCCCTTTGTTTATTCTATTCCTTCTCCCTTGAATGCTCATTCCACCATATTTCCTTGTCAAAGTTCAATTTATTTATTTATAGATCAGTTAAAATTGAAACATTAGCTGATCACCAAAACTAGAAGTCATTTCACCCCCTAAGAATTCCTGAAATTCCTTGTTTTAGACATCACATATATTATATGACAAATAGAGAGACAAATAAACCTTTTTTGTATGCAAGCGCCCTCCACTACTCCTTTAGGCAAAGACTGTGTCTATTCCATCTTTCTGCCCCTTTCCCATCACGTAATGGAGCACGCCGTGCACAGTAAAGTGTCCGCTGTCCACGGGGGAGCATGAGCACAGACACAGAGCACAGCCCCCTGCCCGGCAGTGGACTCCCACCTGAAATGACAGCTTTAATCACGACTACTCACTAATGAAGAGAGGCAGCAGTGACCAATGGTTCTCTCGAGAAGGTAGGAGGGATGTCATTGTTATAAACAAGGGTAGCTCCAGCTTAATTACTGAATTATTTATGTGATTTTTACTATTTGTGTAAGTGTGCATTTTTATAATGTCCACCCTTCCTACTAAACTGAAAGCCTCTTAAAGATAGGGACTGCATTTCTCCTGTCCCCAGAGCCCATCACAGGACACATGGTAGGAAGTAAATTATTTAGTATTTGACAAAAAAAATGGAAGGAGGAAAGGGGAAGGAAATGGAGACTTAACATCTTTGAAGATGAGGTTTTATTCTTATAGGCAGGCTAACCACCATTTATCCAATTCTACATTTATATCTATTTGGTCTGAAAACCAAACTCTTGTCAATAGAATCAAATTAGTTATATTATGTCTGCGTGTGGAATAGAGTTTAAATGTATACAAAGAAAATGAAACAGGAGTTCCGGCCAAGATGGAGGCATAGGTAGAAACCCTTCACTTCCTCAAACAACCAAAAGGAGGATAACAACCAACCTAAAACAATAAACAACCAAAAGTGCCAGAAAATCATGCTGCACAGAACTTTGACAACCAAGGAATTAAAGAAAAAATCAACCAGAACAACCAAACTGGTAAGACAGCAGACCATGGGGGCCGACTCAGAAAAACTGTGTCAAGGGGGGCGGAAACCACATGGGTGGGGCTGGCTGAAGGTGAAACTGAGACTCAGAGTGGACTGTGGGCTAGGGCAGTTGCCACGGTGAGAGAAACTCCCAGTCTCACACTAGCTGGAAGGTGCACTAGAGAGGAGCAGGCGAGCTATACTGTCCCCTCTCTGGCCCCTCCCCCACAGGCAGCACCTTGCACAGCAAAGAGGGTTGCCCTGCCCAGGTGAGTACCTAAGGCCCTGCCCCCTTACAACTTATCAGGTGTGCTGAGACAAAGAAATATGGCCCAAATGAAAGAACAGAGCAAAACTTCAGAAAGAGAACTAAGCGATGAAGAGATAACCAATCTATCTGATAGAGAATGTAAAACCCTGGTAATCAAAATGCTCACAGAACTCATTGAGCTTGGTAAAAAAATGAAAAAACAAATGAAGGATACCCAAAATGAAATAAAGGAAATTATTCAGGGAACCAACAGCGACAAGAAGGAAATCAGGACTCAAAGCAACAATTCATAATAAAAGGAAAAAATAAACATCCAACCAGAATAGAATGAAGAAACAAGAATTCAAAAAAGTGAAGAGAGTCTTACAAACCTCTGGGACAACCTGAAATGTTCCAATGTCCGAATTATAGGGGTGCCAGAAAGAGAAGACAAAAGCAAGAAACTGAAAACTTATTTGAACAAATAATGAAGAAAAACTTCCCCAATCTGCAAAGGAAATAGACTTCCAGGAAGTCCAGGAAGCCCAGAGTCCCAAAGAAGTTGGACCCAAAGAGGAACACACCAAGGTATATCATCATTAAGTTACCCAAGACTACAGATAAAGAGAGAATTCTAGAAGAAGCAAGAGGAAAGGAGATAGTTACTTACAAGGGAGTACCCTGAGGCTATCAGCTAATTTCTCAAAAGAAACCTTACAGGCAAAAAGGGGCTAGAAAGAAGTATTGCAAGTCATGAGAGGCAAGAACCTACATCCAAGATTATTTCATTTAGAATCAAAGGGCAGATAAAGTGCTTCCCAGATAAGATCAAGTTAAAGGAGTTCATCATCAACAAGCCCTTATTATATGAAATGTTAAAGAGACTTATTTAAGAAAAAGAAGATAAAAAATATGAACAGTAAAATGACAACAAACTCACAACTATCAACAAATGCACCTAAAAGACAGAAACTAATCAAACAACTGGAACAGGAACAGAATCAGAGAAATGGACATCACATGGAGGAATTTCAGAGGGGAGAGGGGGGAGAAGGAGGAGAGGAACACGGGGAAAAATGTACAGGGAAGAAGAAGCATAATTAGTGGGCATAAAATAGACAGGGAAAGATAAAAATGGTATAGGAAACAGAAGACCCAAAGAAACTTCTATGTACAACCCACAGACATGAACTAAGGCAGGGAGAATGCTGGAGGGTTGGGGAGGCAGGGTGGAGAGGAGATAAAGGGGAAAAAATTGGGAAAACTGTAATAGCATAATCAATAAAATATACTTTAAAAAGGAGAACGAAACAATACTGATAACATGTTTTGCTAGCAATGGAATTCTGATTTTAATCTAATTACAACTGTAGTTGGACACTTCTTGCTAAACAAGCACAAAAATATTACTGTGCTAAATATAGACATTATATATACATAAGTATTTTGTGATAAAACATGCATACTATTTAGTTTCATTTAAGATCTAGGAAATTTGGCTTTCCATAATATAATATATAAACAATCAGGCCCATTAAGAATTGAGGGGCAAATATAGAAGCTCACACAAACACTTCTAACCAAAATACAAACCAGACTGTCTTTGTGTGCAAGGCATAATTCCATCAATTAGCTGAATTTACTTAGTTCTGTCCTGATTTTCTGTTAAAATGCTAATTCTAAATTTACACATAAGCTTCAGGGAAAATGAAAGTAACTGGCATAAAAGTTGACTTTACGTACTACACATTCTGAGAGAAGATGACAGAATCAAATGCTGAGGAAACAAATGGCACACCTGCCTGATTTATGGGTAAGGCTAACTGAGTTTACTAGACTTAAGTGCCTTGCTCTCTGAATAAGTGCTAGAGAACTAACAAACTCTCTCAAAGGTGTACTAATAAATTGCAATGCTCATAAGATCTTAAGCAACTACATATAATTTCTCTTATACTTCTTCACTTATTATTATTTATTTTTCCTGGATGCCTTAATGATTCATCCTTTAAAACAGAGAAAACCATTAGGTAACTTCATATAAAAGAAAGTATCATTCAACCTCCTTTACCTTTTCAGAATATATATAGAATAAAATGCTGCACATTAAATAACAGTGTTATATAAAGAAAAATATTAAGAAAGACTGAGAAAGCACTTACTTAAAGAGACATGAGTAAATCCTCACAATGAGGGTAGGGCGTGAACTACAATAACTGAAGATGTGGTCTTTGTTCCAAGAAGTTAACTGCACCAGCAGCCACAAAATTGTTTTCAGTGTAGGTTCTGCATAAGGAGGACAAAGCAATGGCCAAACCTACCCTCTGACTCCTCCCCATGGAAAGTCACCCACTCCCTCTACAGATGCTGTCATAGGTGGAAAACCCAATGCCCAAGGACAGCATTAAGTTCCCAGCACTCAGTCAAAGTGGAAATCAAATATAGCTACAAAAGATTAAGCTTATGCTTTGTAAGAGTAATGTGCTCTGCATGCCTCACAAAGATACACCACTGCTTTTGTATTCTCAATATTGATGTCAACGCCCTGCCCTGCTAGGAGCCCATCTGCCTTGTAGTTTACCTTGAAAATGATGGCCACCTCCCCTTATAAGAGAATCTCGAAGTTAAGCTAAATTGTGTTTGTAATTACATTAAAATGAATGAAACCCCAACTTGAAACAGCAAGTCATGTTTA